TCTTGAACGCGGTGCTCATCTCGGGATCGTATTGGCAGCTCCAGATAGCCTTTAAAAGAAGGGCTAGCTGTTCCGTGATCTCGCCTTTCGTGCCGTACTTCTTCGAGTTCAGCTTGTTCCGTCTGGACAGATCGACCTTGTATTGGTCCAGGACGAAATACTCTGCGAGTATGTCCGTATGGGATAGACACTGCAGCACAGCGTTCATGAAGCACGTGTTACCGTGATTGCGTAAACCTATGACCCCTGGCACACGGTCTGGCGGTATATGCGCGGGCCTTGGCGGAGGGACCCTTATGTCCCCGGCGCTGGACCCGAGTTCGTCCCTGTGGGACGTTTTGTGGTTCTGCGCGCCCACGTTCGACATGTGCTGTACCATTTTGTTGATGAACTTCCTCCAGGATGGCCTGCGGAACACTTTCTTCACGCCGGGTCTCTCCGTATAGCTTTGCCCGCTTCCGTGCAATCGGCCTATATTTTGCTGCATGCTTTCTAGTTGCTGCTGCATATTGTTTCTCTCCTTGTTACCGCTCGTCCCGCTGCCGTTGTCTTTCGAGTCACGATTCGGCTTCGGACGTCGCCGTGACATCCTACCGCCTTGAAACGGATTCCTAGGCAACGTGAACGTACGCTTCAAACGGGACGCGGAATCCCGTGTTCGCGACTCGGACAAGTTAACCTCTTCCACGCCCAGCTCACCCTCCGACACCGATTTCATCACCGCACTGGCCTTCTCACCGTCCATCGCCGGCCACGGAAACAACCGTTCGAGCCTTCCGCCTTAACCCCTTTGCCCGTTCACATCACGCTACTATCTCTCTGTTCCACGACACCAATGATCGACACGCCGCGGCGACACGTCTATTCCGTGCCGTGACCGTCAACAACTGATCCGCGGAAAAAACGTCATACGCGTAAACCCGCACTCGTACGCGACGGCGGCCATTTGCCTTTTATCGCACGGGCTTCCACGATTCCGTGACACCTCCGCCATAGACTAGAACGTAATGGCTGACCGGGGCTCTCACGATGCGTACCGCGACCGACGCGACCTCTACGATGCCGTGTTTCTCGTTCTGGTTTGTCGGTAATGTAGAGTGCTTTTATACCTACGGTTGGTTGCGCGAGGCTATTTTTATCCAATGATGAGAACGAAAATTTGGTAAACAATAATTATTGTTACTACAAAATTTTTGTTAAGAGGATTAATCATGTTCCAATAACAATGTGAGCATGATCTGATATATTTCTACTATCGTATCAAGCAACTGTTTAACCGCATGCAGGACTGAAAATGGTAACGTGTTTTTCTTTAAAGTGTTCTAAAAGTGATTTAACCCGTTTCTTCATGTGGCAGGTAAGTACAGTCGAATCTCTCGAATCTAATTGATTCATTGCTACATTCTGAATCGAAATTTTTTTGAAAAATTTTTGTTTATATTTGAGTATCACGCGTGATTCAAGTGGAGTCGAAGGCGGATGGTCTGTCGCTCATTGACCCGTGGAGGATTTATGATAGGGTTTTGGAATGCGTTCGGTTTTGAAAGAGATTGAACAGACCTGGACGTCGCATGCCTGGCGGAAGAACACGTGGCGTCCTTCGGCAATCGGTGACGTAGAGGGTTGTTTATGTGAAACAGATGAGAGAAAGTTAAAGATGGCAAGCAGTCCTCTGTTGCGTTTTCTTTAGTATAAGGACATTGTTCCTGGAGGATCTGGCCACGGGGTGGGGAAGAAGTGGTTGCCTTCTGATAAGAGAACTGTGAATAAAGGTCTTGTTGTTAATGTGCCCCTTTGATTAAATAAGTGTTTACCAGAATGTGGATTCCATAATGGAGTCTAAAGTCTTCTTAAAAATGGAACCCAAAGTCTTTTAAAATCTTCTCTAAACAAGAACAAAAATATTCGGATAATGGAAGTTTCGGTAAACATAACATGAGATCTACTGTAATAAAAAGCTCACTAATCGCGATCCTCCGTTCCGGTGTCCATGGAATTTCGTAGAATGCTGATTCGCGAATTGTAAATATTTCAACAACTGCTGACTAGTTCTCGGCAGCAACGCGTCCTCGTCGTGTTAATCGATCATCAGAAATTCGTACACATTCTTAGTATCAATTACCGCCATGATTGCTCCTGGTTATAAAATTTATATTTTTTATATGAAATTAGCGTTCTTATCCGTATTTATATTTGCTCCATGGACGGCCACCTGTTGGGATTTCAGAGCAGTGGATCTACCGGACGACGTTTTCATCCCAAGATTCTCTATTTGGCGAAATCGTGCTTTCTTAGCCATCCCGAGGTATCGTATTATATTCAGATATATATAGTGAAATAATTCGAAATATATGAAGTTTCGTGATAAAAGAAAAAAGGAAAATAATGATACGATTTTTGATACAAAGATGGCAGAGAAATGGATCCTCCGAAGATACGGGAACGTTATTCGAAGCAGTTTGGCCGGAGTCGAGTTTTCCAGCCGTCAAACCCAGAAAAGTGGTCTCGTCGGTTTTACATAATAAACCTGTTAACGATGACTGTCTTCGATCGGTAGTGGATGTGGACGTTGATGGTCGAGGACGTTTATGGGCGCTGGAAGTACCCGATAACAATGACTGTACCGCTAGAATCGTCCTGTATAATCTGAAACGGAATAATCTATTGGTAAAAAAAAGCAGTTATAGGGTGGATGCACCAGTACATGAACACGTACCAGTGAATTAACATTACATATAAAAACAAGTTTTAGGTATTGAAATAAGCAAATGATTAAATATTTATATTTACGCAATTACATATTAACAATTTTTGAAATTAAATATTAACAATTTTATTAGAAATATTCATTTACTAGTTAATGTTCATTCACTGGTGAAATCTGTATTCTTTTTCTTTCTGATTTAATTAATTATATTTTCCCAATTTTTCAAATTGAATTCTATACGTTATAAAAAAGTATACATATTAAAAAGTCTAATTTTCATGAATCAATATTTATTAATACTATCATTTAAAATTCGACTTTGGTGGGTTTACCCTACTTTTACGAGATATTTCACGTAGCGTAAGTATCAGAAAATCCACGCTGAGATCAGAGTGAGGCAAATAGAACAAGTGTTGAGTACTATTAAATAATTATACCAAAATTGTTGATATGAAAAAATTCTTAACAATTTGATAGGTGTCATCTACGGACCTGACGAATGTACCGACGACGAACTTACGGGCCCTCGCTGTCGATCAATCGGGATCCAGAGCATACATCGGGGATTCTGGCGATCAATCGATCATAGCTTTTATGCCAGGTAAATACCCGTACAAACCTTGTGTTCAAAATATTTCTAGAAAGATTTCAAAATAAAGAACTTTTACCAATTCCAGAGAAAGAGAAATGGTGGACAATCAAGATGGTTCACGGACCGGAAGTGCCACGAGTTTTCAGTACCGATCTAGCGATTTCGAAAAAGAACTCGATGCTGTACGTAACAGGTTCAGCCACACTTGATTTATTCAGTGTCAATTTAGAAGAATTATGGAACCAGGACGCCAACTTATTATCTAACAGTGTAAGCACGAAGCATACACGTAGTATATTACTTTTACGTTTCGTTTCAGCAAGAATTTCGTTCGAACAAGGTGCAGAATCGCAAACAGAGCGACTCACAAGTTTGTTCACTAAAGGCAGCCACTTCTGTTTAACCAGATTATTCATCTCAAAAGGATAATAAAAGTACTAATAAGGAGAATATATAAATCGAAATTGCATAAAAGTTTTGACACCTAATTGTTATTTTAGTAGTTTGTTAATAAATGTGTGAGTCACTGTATATATTTTTGAGTGTGGAGAAAAATACGCGTGTATCGTTTTATTTCTACGATGTCTCAGAAATCGAGAAACGTCTCGGTGATCTGGCACGGTACCAAAATGGCCGCTTCAGCGGGGCTTTTCTGCGATGTCAAGGACGGTCTCCACTATTTTATGTCGTCGGAAAGAGCTAGCGTGCGTTGGGACACGAGACTTCCCCTGAGGGTAATTATACTGTTTTTTTTTTTATTCTATCTCTGAATGTATGACGAATACATACGTTTATTTCTCTCGAATTCCAGGCGGAAAGTCATTCGGTACTCGTGCAGAATGAGGATTGTCCGTGCATAACCGATTACGCTATGGACAGTCAGAAGAACTTGTGGGGCTTGATAAACTCGGAATGTCCGCCAAGGAGAAACGGTTCACCGATATCGTCGCTTAAATTCAGGACCATAAAAATCGGGAAATATCCGACATCTTGAGATCGGTGTTGATTAATACAGTAAATCCTGGATAAGTGTTCGAAGACTCCTCAGCAGTGACAAGAAGAGGTTTCCAGGTGTAACGCTGGATTTTGAATGAGGTATATGGCCATTAGTTTATGAAATATTTAATGTTCAATGCCGAGGAGCCTTCGAACATTCATCGAGGATTTACTGTAGTTCCATTATGGGAGATAGAGAACCATAAACTACGTGTATAGCTTTAATCTGTATTAAGCGACGAAATAAATATTTGAAGTTAAGTTCAGAAATCTGGATTCCCAGGGAATTGTGGGTAATATTCTATCTAAAATTTGATGCTGTGTCACTCTGCACACTGGTAATTTATTAGTTCTATGCACGATATATTCTTTTGGGGCCTTCAATGGATATTACAAACACTCGACTCGCCGAGTTAAGTAATTAATCCGGGCGAACCTGTTTCGTACGCGACAAAAGGTGGCCACGAGGATACGGAAACGTCAAACGAAAGGTGTGTTCAATCAACCGGGCGTTGCATCGGAATGCATTATGTAACAAGTGTCGTAGCGAATGATGTTATCACGGGCCACGTGGTTCCAGGAGATGGTAATTTAAGCGTATTAGCGGGCGTTAGGTAATGGTGGCTGAGAATCGATACTTGTGTGAGGATTAAGTGGAACTGCGACGTCACTTGGTAATTCGGGTTAATCGACTGTTTTTTTTCTTATTATTGTTGGAGCCAGTTCTGAACCTGGAAACAGATCCTGTGACCCCATACAAGACCAAGAATGTCATGTCAAGAATTTAACGAGAAATCGAGGAATTAAATCGACAAACCCGGATAGCATATGATGTCCAATGACGCCTTGAAGACGGCTTAAAGGCGCCCTAGACCTGAAATAGCTGTAAAATGGGCGTCTTCAAGGCGTCATGTGCTATCTCGGAATTTTCTTGCGGTTGAATCACTTGATGTTCTGATACCTAATTAAATCGCTATTTATTTCTTGTATTCCATGTAGAACACTCCCCAACGTTTATCATTAACTTTCACTTATGTGGACATGTTTTCGTGATTAAATGCCCCGATATTCGTACACGGTAATTACCGAGGTGTACAGATATCGTTAATTATTTTGATATACCGAGGCTATTTTGTGTTTTTTTTTTTTGCGGGAAAAAAGGAATGAATTATTGGCTGGTGCATGTATCGACAACGTGAGCGTAATTAATTGGTGAATTGTGTGGTGAAATCTGTCGTCTGGGAATAGTTACAGATAATTAACGATAGAACAGTAATTATTATTAAGATTTTTATTTGTCTGTGTACCCGTTACTGCGTTCGAACAGTAAGACTGTACGGTTCGTTTTATTTGGACCGACGATTGAAACGTCGTCGACGGTTCGTATTTGCCACTGGTTGGTATTTGTCCAGGTTATGTTCTCCCCGTGGGGAAATCGAATTTTAAAGATGGCGGTCGTGGAAAGGAGGCTCTTATTTCAACCCTTTGAACGCTGCACTTTCATTACAGTAACACAATTTTCACCAGAAAATTGGCAATGATAAATAAATACTGATCGAGAAATCTTCTAAAACTGACCGTTGACAGTTCAGTTTCTCTAGAAAGACCTACGAGAATGTTCCTTTTTACGAAATCTTTGGAACGAAGCGTGTAAGAAAGTTGAAATACGACGATGTATGATGAAACATGAAATGCTTAAATTTCAGTATTTTGTTCAACAGCATCCAAAAGGTTCAGAAAAATTTCCCTAAAAAATATCCAACTCAAACTTGCTTCGAGTGATTTCTTTGGATCATTCAGTACTGATCGTCGCAGGAGTTCATCAGAGGATGCAGGGAGACTGACGCGCCGGAACAGCTGACGGCGTTGCTGATGTAATCGTGGAAGTTGCTCTCGATCACCCACATGAGTCTCTTGTAGCCAGGAACGACTTGTGTCGGCAGTCTGTACTCGCTGCCCTTCTGAACCAATAGGAAGTTGTCCCGTACGAAGGGGGTTTCCGTGTTCCACATGTAAACGTCAGAGTCACCTGAAAACCAGATTCAAACCATTCACCGACTAATCAGAAAATTAAATTTTAGTCACGAATTATCGTGAAGTCTAAACGTTCCGAAAAATATTTACAATTATAATCAACGTATTATTTCCATGGAAACTAGACCTAAAAATTCTGAATGTTAAACAAATTTATGATAAAAACAGTCTTTTTACCCTTCATTCTGAAGAAAATGGCGGACCCATTATCCGTGCCCAAGATCACGATCTTGTTTTTCTTCAAGCCAACTTCCACCACGGATCCGTTAGGGTTCCCAGCTCGAAGGTTGGTGGCCTTGATCGCGAAGATTCTGCTCGAGCCCAGATAGCTGAAATAAAGCACCTGGGTGCCGCAACTTTTCCTGATCAGCGATAGATACAGGGCGTCCTTCTTCTCCGCGGATTTGACGACTGCTCGCGGTAGAACCACGCGATAGCCCCTGTCAGCGGTCACGTTGTAAACGATAATCGCTCTGGTGGCAGCGTCGGAAACGTAGACGTACACCTGGCCGTCCTCAGCGTAGTCGACGGCCAAGTATTGCAAACGGGAGGAAACGTCCGTCAGCGTGCTCAGGTCGATCACTTTCACAACCTGAAATTGTATTCGAGTTAGAATCAATCCCAAACTTTAACTCTGCATACGTTGCATAAACTTCCAGGGTATAGGATCAACATCCAGGAATTTACAAAAGTATCTATAGTTCAATTGGGCCAGGTTGTGCAGAAGTCTACCAACCCTCAAAATGACCACAAATTACTTAAACACACTTCTAATCCCACAATTTTGTGATCTTTATTTTGCAAAAAATCACCAACCCATAGAACAACTTTTACATTAAACAATTATTGAAACACATAGAAAATTAAAAATATTATTAATTATGCTATTCACTGTTAAATAAGTAAACAAGAAATGAAATATACCCAATAGAAATAACGCTAGTTTCTCTAAATTAAAATCGTCAAACTAAATTTACTTGGGTTCAGATCATTGAGGGTTGGTAGTCTTCTGGATAATTTGGCCCAATTATTATGTCTTCTACGTACCTTTCCGCTCTTCACGTCGATTCCAACCACCTTAGGAGGACACCTACGTACAGGTTGCTCCAGAGTGTTGACGATACCAACATCCAGGACCCATAGGACGTCTTGCATGTCCAGGACAATGTCGACGACGCTTTGTAGCGCCTGGCAGTTTCCTTCCTCCTGGATCGCCCAGCAAGGGAACGGAGCGACTTTTGGGCTACAGTCGGTCGATTTCAACGAAACTACGCCCAGAGTGAACGGTACACCAGGTTTGTAGCGAGGCATCGCGAGGATCGCTTGGTCCTTGTACACCTGCATCCTCGTTGCGATCACGTTCTTGGTGATGTAGCGACCGCTGGTCTCGTAGATGTTCTTCGTGCTTTGACAGGGCCATTCGAGGCTTCGTCCAGATAAAGTCACCGAAAGATCTCGCAGCGATTGGTTCGCGTGCGCTACCGATAGGACGGTTAGGAGGCAGACGCTTAGGAACCACTTCATTTTGCTAGTCTACGTCACTTGGGCGACTGTGAATCGGAAATATTTCGTTGTGAAAATGGTGGCTTGATATTCTGGGACGTTATTAGTTACAGCAGACGATATACCACGAAAGTAATATCAGATAATAACGTCAGATTAATATTGACAAGTTGGAATGAAGTTTCAGTGAACTAACACTCTGGTACTTGTAATTGCAATGAATAGGAAACTCTAGTATGTTTAACAAAAACTGTATGGTGTAATTCGTGTAGAATAATATTGTCTCTGGATCGATATTCCAGAAGAATCTTATTGTCAGTAGATTAATGTTACCGAAAAACGATGGAAGCTCGTAATGAAGACAAGTAAGACGACTTACAGTTGAGGACTGATGAACACGGTCAAGTATGCGGTCCTTATATTCGACTTAACGCTTATATACATACGTCGATTCACAATTTCTCGATCATATACGGACTTGTGTATTTATGAAGTGACGGTCTCTTCTGTCGCAACACTTTCGCCAATGCAAGGCTGCGCGAGGTCCGGAAGACAACACGGAAATTGTACTTTCGGTGCAATTGTTTGGCAAATTATCGAAGTGTCAGGAAGTTTCTGTTTGTATTCAATAACAAGGTCCTTCCGTAAATTCTTAGAGCGTCATATGACACATTAGTTGATACAAATTAATCTTATGACCAGTTTAATCATTTTTATTACTATTATCGGTTAGAGTTGGGCAAAATTATTATCTAAATAAATAGTTTCGAATGAAAGATAAACAAGTACTTCGTCACTTTCAATTGGTTAAACGTGGAAATTTCAATAAGAAATTAATACTTCTTGAATGAGTCGACAATTGGTGACCAATTATGTATTTAATTTCATTAACTGTTTAAAGGTAAAGACGACGTTCTTAGATACTCTTCGATTTATTCGATTAAAATTCTGCTTAATTCTGTTATCGATAGTAAATAAATAAAGAAAAATATTTCTGTCAATAATCACATAAAGGAAAGAACGCTTGACAAAAATTAGTAACAATTAATGTAACAGTGCAAAGAAAGTTACAAATATGTATTGCTAGAGTACAGTAGATGGTTTCTTTTCGGAATAATATAATATAAAAAGTTATTGGATAAAATTTTATTTATCGAAGATAAGGTTTAGATAACTCTTTGTTGATTCAAAGAAATTCACAATCTATGCTAGCCTGAAAAAATTTTTCATTTAAAAAAAAATTCATTTTTTAATCGAACTTACTCATCCCGACGAAAGTTGTGTCTTTTCTCGAAGCCTCCAACGTCCATAACGACGTCAATCGACATCAGAATACGGAAGGAACGGTCACTCTGCTGGAACAATAAATATTTTGGTAAACTCGAGGATTTCGTAACTCGAGGAACGTAGAGGCTCCATATATAATCGGTAGGATCCCGAAGATGTCACAGTACAGTCGTTCTTCATCGACAACGATTTCTCTTGCAATTAATTTCGTGACATGTTTCTCAAGAGGAAGCATCTTGCTACGTTCGTGGCGACAATTTCCATCGTCGTTGCGTACGCGTTCGCCAACGAGGAGGTCCTAGTGTTAGAAGATGGACCGGTACAGACGTCGAACATCAAATGGACAGGTGGATCGTTCGAGTGGCCATGTCCCACAACGAAAAATATGTTCAAGAATAGCGGACGATACAATTCGAAGAACATCATCGCCACCAGGACTGCCATCTACAAAGACGACGCCATTGTGGCGCTACCCAGGTACGAAGAAAAATTGGAATTCGAAAAGAAACAACATTTAAATTGAAAGTTAATTTAAATATGACGAGTAGACTGCTGTGGTTCTGCGAATTTACAATTTTCGATAGTAATATATGAAAAATCAAATTTGATAGAATTATGTTTCCTGTATTATTTCTTTCCTCCAGTCTGTAAGAATCAAATAACAGGAAACAAGGTTACCCAATCTATGCCCTAAAATCAGCAAAGTTTCTTTTCCTGGATTGTTCCATTTTTCTGTTTCGACGAATATTTAATTTTGTATTCTGATTTTTAATGTAGATTCAAGCCTGGAGTACCAGCGACCCTGGCGAAAATTTCCCTGAAGGACCCAGCTTGCCAGGCAAACCTGGTTCCCTATCCTTGTTGGTCAGTCCAAGAAGAAGGAACCTGCAGTGCACTGCAAAACGCAGTCGATCTTTACCTGGATCCACAAAATATCCTTTGGGTGCTTGACACCGGAGTGGTGAACACATTAACGGAGCCAGAGAGGAAATGTCCACCGAAGGTCCTTGCCTTTAACGTCATGACAGGAAAGGTGAGTGCCTTGTTCGTTAATACAATATAAAATTATCGAAAATATATTTAACAATAAATATACACTGTCATAAAATCATTTTAATTATACTAACTACCATATTCGAGAGTTTGAAATATTTTTAACGTATCTATTAGAGAGAAAATGGCCATTTTGGATTTAACTATACCAAAGTTTTTTTTAAATGTTATAAATTATTATACACTGTAAACGTAAGTATGTGCAATAACAAATTTCATTGAGTGTAATACCATTGCTCGACCATCGGAAATTTGTCTCGTGCGTTTGCTACGGAAAAATGGCCATTTCACGGTGAGCGCGATCCAGTAATCGATCCCGAAGAACCGGTACGAGATAACAACTGTTGACGAGTGTCATTTAGTAACAGATATATATTACTGCGTTATGTTGCAACCGTTGCACAATGTGAATTTCAAATGATCAGAGACCGACACGTCAAAGACCGACCGGGACGGTAATGTGCTAGCATCGAACGTGAGCTACCGTTCGACCGTAAAAGTCACGTGGTTGGTTCAATAAGGAATAGCTTTTTTTATCCTTTCACCCGGCGTACGTGAAACATTTTTCCGCCGTTGAATTACAGACGCGAATTAACCGTGCTCGTTATCTCAATCGTTCTTGGATACTCTGGGGCCATTTGAATAATGGACACGTATTCCCAGTGGCTCACTAAGTTCATTTCCAAGTTAATTTACGCCCCATAATCATGTGAATCGCATTTATTTACATTACTCGCGCACCCCATAAAATGTCTTTCTCGATATCGAAGTTACTTCTTTCACGATTATGCTTCCGGTGCCATTTTTAGAACGATTTTTCAAGTAATCTCCAAATTCTGTTAATTTGTATTTTTTTTATCAAATATTTTAAAATCATTATTAGACTCAACTTTATACAGATTTTTAGAAAATCGTATTTGCAATAAGCGTATCAAGCCTGCATTAATTCTTGTGGACTCCATAAACGATTCAACTCGATAGTTCCTTAGAACGTTCACAAAATGTCTGAACTTAAAAATTAGTCGAAAATGGTACCTTGCCAGTCGAGGGACAATAATCAAGTCATTACTGTATTCCACATTCCGCGAATCACATCCGTCCCACGGTCCCCACGTCTGGACTAGAGATGCCGTGCAAAATCACCAACAGTGATTTATCACAGTGATTGCCGAATCACGATCACGGTCGTGATTTAACTTCATTCACGACCGTGATTGCGATTCTTTTTCATCTCGACTGAATTTGCTCACTGCGATCGTAAGTCCTTGATCATTAAACAGAAAAACGTATTCAATATGATTTTACGATGAATTACGTTACCATTTGTGTTTTTAAAAATCCGTAGAAAGAATAAGAAATTCTAAAAGAATAATTTGCTAGGTAACGTGTAGATTATAATTTATAACTTATTCATTATTCTCCATTGTTCCTAATTATTCACCGTCACTAATATAAAATATACGGTTATGTGTCGCGTGTAAAAAAAAACTGTTAGGTTTCTCGACCAATGAAAAACGATCACGAAAAATCCCGAATCACTGTGAAAAATCACCGTGATTGGGAACGAACGTGATCGAGAATCACTCGTGATTCACAAATAGCTGTTCGCGCGATCTCTAGTCTGGACTAATTCAGTTGCACCCTTCGTGATCGCAGAAATCACTCACGTCCCCCCTCATTTCTGCCGCAGCTGGTGAAGACAGTGGAATTGGCCGGGCTAACCAGTCCGATGTCGCGTCTCCAATACGTGGTCTCGGACTACAGCCCGGACGGACGGGTGTTCATCTACGTGTCCGACGCTGCCACAAGAGCGATCCTTGTCTACGATGTCACGTCCGGCCGCGGTTATCGCGTCGTCTTGCCACAGGCCGTCACCATTGGCTGCACGCGCCGGGACGTTTTGTACCTAGGCCTTCTCCGACGTTCCGACGGAAGCACGTGCTTGGTCTTCACCTACTTGAGCGGCAGCCGTTTATTCTCCGTTCGAACGGAGCACTTGCGAAATGGCTCCGCAAACGGGCGTATCCACGATCTTGGACCGAAACCGAGGAAAATGGTAATTTTGGGCACGGACAATGGCAGCGCTCTGTTCTTCCGTTACGAGGGGGAATCGGACGTGTACAGATGGGACGCCACAAATCCGTTCGACGCCCAATGCTTCCAATTGGTCTACACAAGCACCGAGTGCTCCCTTGCTACTCATGTCGTCGCCGATTACAGGCGAGGCAGAATGCGCGTGCTCGAATCGAACTTTCCCGATTACATGCAGGGAACCGTTGGATGCGGGGCTGATCAAGCACTCAGTCTTATGTAATTAATAGATCGACGATGGTGTGTTGTTTGCGTGACGATAAAAGTGATTTTTGGAACGGAACCGGTATTTTGATCTTACCCCCGTTTTCATTTCCTGTTGTATCCTCGACGTCCTGATCGTGGTTGTTCGGTCACCTATCGTGGCTTTAGTGGACAATCAGTTTCTTATCCTTTATTTATTATATGAAAGTGTATATTTAGATGTAGAAATTGTATCCATATCTGATTTCAATCGAGGGGCTTGTGAGGAGGACGATTCTTGGATCCTTTACTACCAAAAACGGTCTATGTTGTTATATACTTCGACCGAAAAATCGATGAATTCTTCGGAATCCAGCTTCGTCGAAGTTTTTGTCTGACAGGAAAAAGCTCGTTTCACAGATTGACGAGGTTCGTTTTTCGTTACAAGCCCCTACGTCATCCAGAATCCCTGATATTCAGGATGTGTCTAGGGCAGCGAGTTCGACTCCCGATCGACGACACGATAAACCCATTGGCGCGTCGGTTTTTGCTGATTTCTACGCCACTGTGGTCGACCAGTTCTATAAATCAAGATGCAAATCGTTTCGTGATGTTGGCCGTGTTGGCCGTGCACACAGAGGGAACCTAACCGGGGTGACGAAAAAAAAAAAAAGAGGGAACCTTTCTCTCTTACAATCACTCGTTCAAACGGCGCTCGATCGCGATTAGTCGGCGTCGCTCGGTACGTGAAACACTCCCGTTTCAATTCACTGGAACGTTAAACAATGGAGGGGAAAAAAAAAAAAGAATCGATGGGAATATGTAATTTTCCGTTTTTCGGGGGTACGATATACGCCAGAAGGGTGCGATAGTAGGTCACAGTAGAGTAAACACCATTTTTACGGTAATTTGTGTATAAGAATATATAATTTCGAAGTATCATTCTATGGATGTTGTTTCTTGTTTCACTTGAATATAAACTGTCGATTCGTGGATTACAAATTTCGCAGCAGTAGATCATAGTGTTCTCGATCGTTTAGCGTTTCTTCGACTACAATATCCGCATTCTCCTTCTTCTGTAACTTTCTAACTTTTAAACGATACCAGAGTAGTTACATGTGCTTTTTTCGATATTTTTTGAAGAACGACATTTTCATCCGTGTCACATTTCTTCGAGACGAAGCAACGGGGCTCTCTATGAAAAACGATATACGAGATCGAATTTGGTTCTCGGATCACCGTAACTTGGATCGATGAAAGCGCAAGAATATCCTGTTACATCTCTAATACCCCTATTCGTCTCTCTCATTATTCATTTGTCGTATTAATTACCGCGTAAAAACAGTCGGAGCGCAATGAATTCTGAGTAGAATTTATTGTTCCTTTCGACAAGAAACGCGAGCTCGATGAGATTGGAACATTAGAACGTTATCCCTTTATCATGTGTAATAAATATATAAGTGGATTAAGTAAAGTGGTATAAACTTAGGTGAATACTCCCCTTAAACGTACAAGTATATCCGGTTTGAGTGTATACACGCTTTTATTTCCCGAACTATTGAAAATGCGAAAAAACGTTTCATATAAAAGTTGTTCAAATTTATGAAGTAAATTTAATAGAATTTAAAAAAATTACACTGTTATCAAAATCTCTGTGAATAACAGTTAAAAAAAATTCAAGTTTTATTAACTTTGCTCCATAAAATCAAACAACTGTTATATGAAACATTTTTTCGCATTTTCAATAGTTAAAGACATAAAAGAGTGTAAACATTTAAAGTGGACATACTGTATAACTAACTCGATTCACTGGAAAACAGTGAACACTCGAAGGAACTGTCAGACTCGAATTGAACTGAGATTTCAAAACGATTGTAATTAAAAAGGGAACGTTATGCGTCATCTATATCAATCACGCGACATCGCCTAGTTTTTCACGGAACTAACCCTATTCCGTGTTGTATGGGAACAATCGAACATACGACTTCGTTTAATTAGCCTTTTGCAACGTGTCGATGTTGGGCGTTCACTGTCGCTGACGAAACGTGTCCCTAGTGTGTATGAAAGAAAAAGAAAAAGATTGTTGGTTACTGGTAGATTACGGCGGTAAAGGTCGTAGCCGTAGCTCGAGCGACGCCGCGATTTACGATGGTCAATTAGGTGACCACAGCGGCGTTGAATTTTAATATGGTTGATCGTTCAACGTAATTGTTATGTTAAATGAAGCGACGGATGATTAGACACGTTGGCAGACCATGTAATGTTGACGCTAGATTAATAACGATTGGCCTTCCGAAGGTGAATGGCATGGATATGATTACGGTGACCAAAAGTGGGGTTATGTTTGGCCTGTAGCGAAAATGGCGTCGAAAATGGAACCACTAACTTCAGGATGATGTCTCGATCATTGTAAATATACGTTTAAGAATTACACCAGTTAATTCATTGCTATAGTTAACTTGTTGTTAGCAGTAAACCCACTAACTGCATTTGCCCAGTACAGTGGACGCCTACTTTATCACATTAGTGACAATATTTTGAACATTTCTTGACGATCGACAGTACAAACCATCTTTAAATGACATCCAAACATTAAAAAACGTGAGCAAACACACTGTTCGTAAAAAAAAATGAAAATATATCAAAAAATGTATTAAATAGTCTTAAAATGACTTGTTTTTTGATTTCACAAAAAAAAATGTTGTACAAGATACCACAAAGTTGCAATGAGCGGGTTAATTGAATATTTTTTCGACTACCTTGTTAGTCGAGTGACCGTTTATGTTAATGTACGAGTTCGTTATACGATTACGGTGGCTAGAAAGGCGGAAGATTGTGTTGAAATTTACTGTACGTATACGTATCTGGTAATCCAAGGCGGTCCTGTTACGTTTATAAACTAATGTTTATTTATCGCCAAATTTCATTCACCTGATTTAGTTCTAACGATGTGGCTGACTGTTTGTTACAGATCGAAAGAACTCGAACCATGTAAACTGTACTCCACTTTCCCCTGCTTCCCTGAAGTTGGTTCAGGCGTGATTTATGCCTGTTGTTCACCGCCATTGTCGATCACGATCGCCCCCGCCATTTGCAAGTGTACACTGTAATTTCGCGTGCGACCAGGAAAGGCTTTCCGTCGATTTTTAAACACTAATGTTCTTCATTCAGAACCTATAAATTTCTATCAATCACTGTCAAACCAAAGTGAAGAACAAAAAAAAAATTCGTAAATTTCCTACATTATACACAAGAAATAGAAGGAACATAAGTTTCCATTATTGTAGACTTCTGAAAAGTTTCGTTTACGATTCAACTTTTAAAACCGTTTGAATTTGGCGCCATTCTGATGTTTCCTTACAACAGAGGAATTCATAAAAGGTTACCCGCACAATTTTTGCTATCAATTTTTAAGGTGAAGGATATGAATGTTTGTGTATTTATATTATAAATAATTCAAGATTTTCGTCTAGTAGATTGCAAATAGAAATACTGTAGTATTTACTTCATGTGGGAGAGTTCGATGCATGGTAAAGCGTCGACTCACATGGAAGTTGAGTAACTGATTAGTACAAGAAAGGAAAACAAGTATCAACTAAGAGAAACACAAAAAGTTTTCTGAACATAGTTTAACAGTTTACGTGTCATCTAACCGACCGACTAACATTTTTCGAAGTGTTCTCAGCTCACACGCGACACTAAAGCATCTGATACAAGGCCTGCGTGCAAACGTATCGGTTCTAATTTTTGACCGTGAATTTATTCGAGCGTGCAATGTATCCACTTTGTACCATCGATCGAGTCACAACGAACCCGACAATGTGTCGTTTTCCGAAATCTTGATCGACCAGCAATATCAACACGGGAGTCTGTTAAGCGAAACATTATGTCTTGTAAATTGAATTAGTTCCCCCTGATACCCGATACGAGAACACAGTAAAATTTTTTTTTTTCACAAGTATCGGTTGAAAACCGTGAAGCCATCCGCAACTTGAACACTAAGACTAATTAACTTCGATGCGTACCATTGATTACGCGATGATTAATTGTACCTCGTTTTTCGAAACGCCGTGCTTTCACGCTGATGGTTCAATAAACACGACGTCGATCGTCTGTCCGGTTCAAGTCACACGAGGTGTTTCTGTTTTTCTAACAACGTACGTGTGGTATTTTGATTTATCAATTGTTTCATCAGAGACCGTATAATATAAATATAAATAATACGTAACGTAATATATGCCCCTAATGGGACAGGAAGAGGAAAAAATGCAGTTAAATCATTCTATATTCCGAGTTACATCACCCGGTTTTATGTAACATAACCTCAATAAAACATGTGTAAAAATTATGTTTACACAAAGTATGTGTAAAAATTGTATAACTCTGGGAAGGAAGGGGAGTGCAAAATCCAATTTTTTTCTTGTAGGGTGGGGCAAACGCCACTTTTTAAAATTGTTATCTAGATAACAAATTTCGAATAACAAATAAAAGATAAAAAAAACAGAACTTCGCCATTTTTAATAGCATAACCATGAAAATTTCAATTTTTACAACGACACAATACTTCTTCTCGAATGAGTAGACATTTGGCAAAGAATTATTTCATTTCATTAACTGTTCAAAGGTCAGGATAATGATTCCATATACTGCTGCCTTTCACAAATGAAATTGTGCCCAGCTCTGGTTAACGGTTACGTTATTCACGAAGAAACGAGGAGTCTAAACACGGTGTTCCGAAAAAACGTTTCGACGGTATTACGATATTCCGAACGCAAGTACGCAATTCCATAGTTTCACGCGGTTTAGATCGGACGGAACGCGAACACGCAGGAAGGTTCACAAGAACCAAGAACCCGCTTGCAGCGAGCAGACCAATTTAACGAGAAACACCGAGATCGCTGGGAGCCGATTACGTAAAACGGCTAAACGTTCACGATGATGTGTTTCTATGTCGAATTCAATTTTTGTTTCCCTTCAGCGGCGGTGCACGTAGGTACGACATATCTGGAGTATAATGTCCGGCTTGGAAAGTTCGATTCGCGACCGCTCGAGCGTGCACGACATTGTCGTGCCATATTTACCTTTTAATGGCTCTCGTCGTTGAGTTGCGAGGCCCACTGATAAGCGACATCGTGGAAAATAGTAATACGATCATCGTTCGAAATAAATATGCGCAGTGATTTGTTGAACATTTTTTTTTTTTTTTTGACGGACCTACATTTTTTGAAATCATTATGGAAATGAAAAGGACGTGGTTTATTTATCTTTTTAGAAAGATTTGAGAAATGCTACAGACCTTCGTAAATTCGCTTTTCTGCCCGAAGCCCGAATCTCGGCAAGAAAGTATACGCTTGACGATAACGCATGGACAATAATCGTGTAGGACAAGCCAGACAATAATCGACAGGTGTTTGTAAGTACGTATTCTAAGAAATTACTGAAAGTCTAGAACGAATATTGTTCAGGGGATATTAAAGCTGAATGGAAAAACTTTAATAGGATTATGTACTAATAAAAGTGGTTTAAAATATATCATTTTTACGAAACATCGTACAGACCTGGTGTCTCGACACTTTCGAGCGGTGGTGTAAGTAGAGACCGTTTCGCTGAAAAATTACAGGCTTGTCACTCGCGGTACAGTTTCATTAATCAACGCACCTGCAATCATTCCACGTGGAGTATCAAGATCACAACCGAAGAAAATCAAGATCATACCTTGAACAATCGTAAAATGGGAGGTTTCGTACGCTCCCGTGGGACTGTTCGAGATTTTTGCATGATAATTCCCATGATATTTCCAAGTCGCCTGTATTGCGCAAGCCCAAAACGCTTTATTCCACAATGGGGCCCACTGTTGCATTCCGCGACGTGGGGAATAAATCTTGCGCAATGATCGTCTGGTAACCCCATAATTTCCCTGATCTCGATACGAATCCTCGTGGTCCTTATTACGTTTTTCTTCACCGATTTAGCCTCGACCTGGATCATAAAAAATAGACCCATTCTAACAAGGTCATATTTTTTTTTTTTTAATCATAGAACGTTCGAGAGCTGAAGAATCCACAAAGTTTGAAAAGATTAATCTAGGCTAAACTAAAAATATGGGATTTTAAAAGTGTGACTACACTCCATTTATAAACATTTAATAACTTTATATTCACAATCTACATAGAAAAGATATAAATTAGATTAAGCTAATTATACACGGGGTGGTCCGTTTTCTTTTCACCGTTTCCAATAAAAAATTGCCATTTATTTTAAAAAAATTTTATTGGTCACGCAACGAATTAATAAACTTGTGTGCAATAATACACCTACTGCAATGCAATAGGTACCAATTGTAATAAGTATTCTGTATTTTGATTGTACTAATGTAATATCTTGATGTCTAGTATAATACACATACTGTGATCATTTTCAGCATAAACGTGCTGTGGAACCTATAAATCGAACCAGATACTTTTAAAGAACAAACGAACCGACGAATACAGACGGTTAAACTCGGCCAATAGTAGCTCCGGTACAGGATCACGAGCGGTATGCGAAGAAAATGGCATTTGTGCGAACCGCGATAGTGGTAAATGTTATGTGGATGTCCTTGGTACGTAACCCCGATCGAAAGTCCCCGGAACCAATAGACCGCACCCACCGTGTACCAACGTCTCCAACGTTTTTGGCCATTGCCTCGGGGACCATTGCGAATTCTCCCGTAAAAAGACATCGACAGTAATAATTATGTTAGTTTTCGTTTCCTTTATACGGAATAAATTTAATTCCCCAACCGGTCAGACCGGACATTGTTGCCTTTTAGAATGGAATATTGTCTAATTGAACCTGTCCACCATGTTTGGAGTGGATTTTAATCGAAAATTGGTCTAAAGCTTTGAATACACTTTTTTTTTTAAATATCGATGAAACATTAAATATAACATGTGTGTTGCCCCTCTGCTTTTTTTTGCCAAGGATCGGACCTCAGGCAAAAAACGAGTTTACGAGGGTCTGAAGCATTTCTACCTATTCGATTATTGTCCCGGCGCGACCCGAGTCCGGGATGATAATCGAGAGGAGTCTGTAATATAAAGTATATAAGAAATTAGAGGTTAACAGATATTCCGATGAAAGTATCTCTAGGATTTTAATAATTGTAAAATAAAATATCTGGAATCCGTCATTTTGACGGGTACGGTAGTTTTGGTGTGAGTAGAAGAGGGTTCGTCGAAGAAATCGTTCGTTGACGTAGTTTTCGTAAGAACAGTGGATATAAACGACGGGCCGAAGCACTCTAACCCACTTATAAAAGGAGCCTTATGTAAAAATAAAGAATTTCTGAGAAGTCAACGACGTTATGGGAGTTCGTTTCTTTTTTTTTCACGATTGGTCAAGCTGTTAGACTTGAAACACCCGTAATACTCACCTGCATTACCGTCCAAGTGTTACGTTCCAGGTGGGCGTTACACTTATTCGACGGCCGCGAGTCCTGAATGCCAGAGCCTTTGTGTCTGGTATCGGGCGTAAATCACTTTCTCCGGCACGGACCGATCCATATCTAGCACGATACCACATCGAAATCCCGAAGTTCTGATCATTACAGCTTCATCCTTGTAAACACTTCCTGCGGATGATGTCAGAATTGTTATCAATCGTACTCTGTAAATTCTTAATGATCAACATGGTGTTCACCATTGTATCACGTGTACCGTTAACAATTTTATCAGAAATTCCACCTTGAATCCTGATAGTTTGATCTTGGCATAGAGTGACTGAAAATTGTTTTGAAAAGGAATAGTAAAACGTTTGTTAAATGTCACGAATTTTAAGAAACTATGGTTTTTGTGTCCAATCATACACTTTTACTGCAATATAAAAACGAAGAAATCCGTTAATTAAAAAATTTGAATATTTTCAAACGAATGCCATGATTATCGATCCGACAGAAATAAATATTCCCTATATCACATAACGTTCCATTTACTCATAATACAATAAAAGAATATTTTCACTAATTTTTGACACCACGCAAGAAAATACACCTATAAAAATCAATTTTCGAACTCTTTGCAAATATAAAACGTGTTTCTCATTCATTCGTTGTTCACGATTGTTCACCTTTCAAGACACCGTGTAATCCTCTCACGGCCGCGGGTTTGAATGTCACAAAAGATCGCGGAACAGATGGGTCGTGTCGTGGGTGTGCCTCGACGGTGGGTGCATACACGCCGCCGCGAAACGCGTGGTTACACAATGTGTCTATTTTACTGTAAGGTTGCCCCCTGTCTCTCAGACAGTCAGGACCCCCGAGTCGATGCTAGGAAATTAGATCAGTCGGTGTTCAGACAGCGGGACTTGGTACACGCTCGCTCCACGAGACCAGTCGCCGTCAGTCGAAGTTGCTTTGCAACGGAAGCACGTTGCGTGTCCCTCGTCGTGGATTTCCGGCCCGGCTCACCACAGAAATCGACTATTTTTTTTTTTAACGTCGAGTTCAAGATTCTTGCGAAATGAGGTTGGTGTCCTTTCAATTGTTAATCGCACACTTTTGGATCGATCCCTGGTGATCGTGATTTAGGGTGAACACTGGATGGTTTCTTGTGATTTTCTTTTATTATTTTACGTTGGATCGAGTACTATGCAGGTTATTAACGACGACGCTTAGTCTGTATTACGATGTTTTTTCAGAATAATTAAATTTGTGTTGTACAGAGAATTGGTTGTGGTCCTGTGAAATGTGATTGTAATTTGAATCTTCTACATTCAAACAGAAGATTTTATGTATATTTTAGTATATATCTTCATGTTTGTGGTGAATCTGAATGTGATAAGTAGGATAAACTAAAAGTTTCTTGCTTCATTTTTTAAATAGGGCCCTTCACAGAGAAAATACAGTAAATTTTCTACGAGTGTTCGAAGGCTCGGAACTGAACATTAAATATTTCGTACGCTAATGGCCATATGAGGCTGAAACAAATATAATTGGCTTTAGAATACCAAGCTCTATCACTGTGTTAAACCTTCAAACACTCATCGAGGATTTACTGTAGACTTCTATTCGATGCTAGCTTTTGGAAGTGAGTTTGTAAAAATGTAAAGTCAATTATGGTGCAATCTCGTGAATATTGAAAAATTTTACAAATTTTGAACATTGATCGTAACGTACAGGAAATCGCACAAGGGTTGATTATATCTTTAACACTATAATGCATATTAGTTTTTCCAAGCGAAACGAGCTTCGCGTAATTTTGCAACGTTTCTAATATTGATTAAAATCGAAATGTATTTAGAAAGTCAATCTATGAACAGCGTGTAGGCAGTTGAATTTATTATTCCATTTACATATATGCATTGGACGGTTTATAAAGGAGGAGAAGGTGACTGACGCGATTTCATATTTGCATAAGCCTCTCGTTCACGATTATTACGTACATAACGCACACGTCGACAAGACGGAAACATCAGATGCGTTCAAGATCAAGTTCACGTACCGGAGGAAAGAAAGGTTTCCTATTAATCGCTTAGCATTTCATTAAATAACGATTATCCAGATTGTTGTTGTTAACGAAACTCGAATTAGAACGGACGTTTATCTCGTTTGTTAAAGGTCACGTACAATTCAACGCAGAAGCTTGTTGTTTATTTAAATTTTTACCGTCACGTATTGATTAAATAGTAATTATTAAACTAATGAGACACTGGACCTCTGCGAATAGCCGAGACAAACAGATCATGCGATGATACTACTTTTTTGTTCCTGAAAGTTTACTCAACATTTATTGTTCACGAACATCACGGTCGGCCATTGTTATAATACACAAAGGATGAAAGTTTAGTAAACTTGACACGTCCCAAGGAGCAAGAATGGAAGAACAATGTAGAAAATCGATAACATTTGAACGAGATAAAATATATTAGGTGTACCAATAAGTAATCCATGATATTTTTTATGAAATAGTGATATATTTAAACTCGAAACATCATCAAGCTCTTACCCTTTTTAAAAATGGCGAAGTTCACTGGAGAATGTCGAATAAATATCATTAAAATAGAACAAGCTTTTGATTTTCCAAGAAATAAATATTAAATTTAACAAAATCTCGTGGAATATTTGTGGGTACACATAATATAACCATCATATGAGGTCGTAAATCGAAGAAAAAAATTGTTGAAAATTTTACGAATAAAATATAATTGCAGCTAGTCAAGAAACATCTTCGATTGCAGGATCCTCCTCTTCGCCCTTCTGGCAGGCTCATTATTCGCCAGGACGAACACGGAAGTGTTAGAGACATTAGCACAATGGCCGCTCCTGGACTTTGCTCTTCCGTACGACCGCGAGTTCCTCAATCAGTATCGTCCAGAAAACGTGGTGCCCACTGGGATCACGATCGGCTGGGACAAGATCTTCATCACCGTTCCAAGACTACGCGCTGGTGTCCCGTCGACCTTGAACTACATTCCAAGGAATCTGCCTCTGGGAAGCAGCCCCCAGCTTCAAGCGTATCCGTCCTGGGACTGGCACAGCGCAGGCAGAGGTGATCTGAACTGCTCCCAAATGATCTCGGTATATAGATCCATGATCGACAGGTGCAACAGACTTTGGGTGGTCGACAGCGGCGTGATGACATCGATCGACGACTTCATGCCGGTTTGCCCGCCGAAAATCCTCGTCTTCGATCTGAGGACCGATCAATTGGTGCGGATGTATACCTTCCCTAGGGACGTAAGTATCTTGCTTCTGACACTTTAACGACGATGCCTGGGTAGAAGTTCGTAAGACCAAAACTGGAATACTTTCGTTCTTCAGGTTCTGAGGCCCAATACGTTGCTAACGAATCTAATCATCGACGACGTTACGGCGACAACCTGCGACGATGTGTTCTTGTATATTTCCGATACCGCAGGGCCTGGTTAGTGATTGATAAAACACTTCATAATTTATCATTGAGTTTTATTTTTTCTAAAATTACGTATTTTTTTAGGTTTATTGGTGTACGATGGCGCCACTGACAAAAGTTGGCGAGCTGTGCACGCTTCCATGTATCCTCATCCGGACTTCTCTACTTATAGGGTAAGATTTATCAAAAATTGTTTTTGCTTACTAAAATATTTCCAAAATAATCATTTTTAAACGGTAATAAGTAAATTTTGCGAATGAATAGTGGTACCACAAAAATTTCTGCAATTTATTCTCCCGTCAACACGAAACCCGAACAAATTTTATATGATGCCGTCTGACGTTTCGATGTAAATTACAGAATTCGTTGGAATTTGTCGGTTCTCGTTGAATATTAAAAGTCGTGATTGCGTGTCCAACGAGAGCCATAAATCACCAACGGTATAATAGAAATCAAGAACGATTAGGTGTGCGTAAAAACTCACATCGCTCATATTTATCGTGAATCTTACGATTATGCGTTATTCCGACACGCGTGTTTACACAATTGCCGCGAAACTCGATTCCGCTTTTTATTTTTCGCGCCGCGCGATTTATTATCCAGGAAATCGCGTTGAATTTCACGGTGAAGCGGGCATTCGTACGAATTGAAAGTTCGCAAGAAATTGGCATACGAAACTAGCAAGGAAAATCTGAATGCCCTGTTACGATTCTGAAAAACCTATCAAACTGTACATGTCGTTAACGATTTTTTACTTGAGTTAATTGTACATTGTTTGAGTTGGGCGTACCAATGTTTGTACGAACAAGGAAAACAAAGGTTTCGAACAAAATTCAAATTCGTTTCCGTGATAACAACAGATTCTAGTATACCAATATGGTGGAACCTGTACTATTAAAAACGATTTATATCCCGATTTACTCTGAATATTTAAAACAAAAAACTAGGGTATGGAAAAGGGCACATTTTTCCCTCTCAGGGGAAATCTTATTTTTCTTCTCTACTGGTAGGGAAAAGGTCACTTTTTAACCTGTAGGAAGGGGAGGAGGTGGACCCTTACTACGCCCATGTATGAGCCCCTCAATTCTTAACGGAAACTCATATTTCGTATGTTTTTATAATTTGAAAATTATTCTCTTCAGATTGGCAGTGACACATTCGAGCTGCTCGACGGTGTCGTCGGTCTGGCGTTCTCCGCGAGACTAGGCCAACTCTACTACCAGCCCCTGGCGACGGACCGTCTGTTCAGTGTGCCAACAACGGCGCTACAAGCCGGTCCGGCGGCGTTCGGTGAACAGTTACCGGTAACATTGGTCGGCAAGAAGTCTAGTCAAGGTCTTGCGTTGGCCGTCGACCCCCGTGACGACACGATCCTCTTCTCGCCGCTGACGGAAACGGCAATCGCCTCCTGGCAGCCGCAGACCAACCGGCAGAGGTACCATTTTTTACGAAGGAATATTTACCCAGGGAATTAGCAAATCATTATAATAAATTAGCAACGCTCGAAATGTGTGGTTTTGTAGAATTTTCTGTCGCCCACGTGTGACATGTAGGAATTAACGTGGTCATCGTGATGGAAGTGTAGTCATAATTTGTATACATACATATATTAGTATACATATCACTACGAATTACCATTAATATGTGAATTATTATGTAAGGTTTATACCAGGAATTTTAGTGGATTTTAACAATTGTAGGATCGATTAAGTTTTACTTGAACACAAACCGATTTGTAAAGTTAAGGGATCGTTGATTAAAAATGATTACAGTTCATTTTTGGGTGGTTGTGACTTTGAGTAAGAGTCAAAAAATTCTTTGTCGAACGTTAAGACAAAAGAACTGCCAGAAATATGGACATTAAAGGGTCTTGTGTCATACCTATTTCGGTCTATGTTCAGAAGAGGTTAGGTTACACCGTATGAGTCAATCATAATTCTTTTTTTTTCCAGGATTATGGCGTTCAGTCCAGAAAAACTGCAGTTCGTCGCTGAAATTCGATGGGCGGAACGGGACAATGGGAATTTCTGGGTGCTGAGCAGCAGATTTCAGAAATTCTTCAGGCGGGAGGTCAGCGCCCGCGATATCAACATTCGAATCATGAGGCTGATGCCCGAGCAACGTCCCTTGAAGCACGAAATCCTTAATTCGTACAATCAACCACCGTTCCCGTTGCATTTCTACAATAACACTTTGGGTTTTTAGAGAGTTTCACCGTAGAATGATTTTTTAGTACTGTTTATGGGACGGAGAACGTTTTTAAGCGTCCATTGAACGGGGTGAGGAAGTGAGGTTAAATTGTATTAATCTTTCTAGAGCTAGGAATATTGATGTTAGTATCAATGAAAGGGAAATGCAGGCTCTTAAATTCATTTCCGAGGAAAATGATATTAGTTTTAGGCGAGTGTGTAAAGGAAAGGGGTGTTCGTAGAAGACTTTGTTAAGCAATTTTGAAATTGACGCCAATTTCAAGATGCTGTTCATATTTAAGCTCACAGGCTCAAATGTTGGACTTATTTTGCGATTATTGCGGGAAAATGAACAATAGTAATTATTATTCTAATGTATACGAATCGAAGTACTTTACTGAATAAGACAAGATAAGAAATTTGTTTAAACTAATCGTATTATTTATCTATTTATTTCGAAGGGGTTTTTATTGACGCTATTCTTTTCTTTTGTACACTGTAGGAATCCTCAAATTCAGATGATTTGTAGGTAAAATCATTGAAAACAATTCTTTAACATTGTTACTACCTTTTTTTTACTCAAATGTGTATTTAGATTTTTCACGAAATCTAACAGTAAGGGCGAATTATTTAACGTCTTGTACAATTAGAATTGTTTAAAAACATTGCACGAATAAAGTATTTAATAATTACCAAAAATGTATTGGAGTATTTTAAATAATCTATTTTCTCGAATACCATTGTATATTCTTAATGTAAAAAATCATAAAGTCCCTAGAGAATCTAGTGAAAAAATGGACGTATGAGGAAAAAAAACATTTGTAATCGAAAAATGATTATCATTTCCTCGAAAATTATTCCCTGAAAATTATCACTTCCTCGAACTGTAAATAAGTGTCACACGTGCAGGCACGGTTACTCAAATATGTAACTAAATGATCTGTGCAGTCATTTAAATCACTGAAGATTAAGTCATTTTAATCACTACAGGCACTACATAAGCACAGTATCTACGAGCAATCATTAGCGACTATTATGGTCTCGTCGTTATTATAATGCACTTCTCCATAAAAATGTTCAGTTGGAAGATTATCATTAAATAAAATTACACCTTGCATCGTCGTTGCGTGCACGAAATTGGATACAATTTGTAAATGACCGCCAATCGAATACTACAATTCTACATAATTCATGATTCACACCATTTGAAACATCGTGTTTCTACAATTACTTAAAAAACCACAAATTGATAAAACTTCAAGATCACTGTTTTCCGAGAAACATAACACTTAAAACATAATAGTTCGAAATACTGATTACTGTATGATTCGCAGATAATTATTTATAGTATACGTAATAAACAGTAAAGGCAGTACATGACTCCATTTATATACAAATCACAGACCACACTGTAATACTGTTCTAGAAGTTAACAGACATTACAATTACTCTTTCTACATATAAAAAAACGTGACACTATTCAAAAAATTCAACAGCTAACAAAACATACAGAAATCAATGAACCACGTTACACTGTCTTTTAAAACACAATCACAACACAGCGAATGTTTACACGAATTCCAACATTCAAATCCAAAATATACACTGAACCGAGAAGTCTAACAATTCCATACAAACCTCATAAATGTTTGAATTAGCACACACATCCAGTGATATCATCAGACAAAAAAGAAATCGTCCTCTCCTTCCCCACAGGTTACCGTCAAAATCGATTGCATCTCACCCATAACTCAAACACACACAATCACATAACCTCACTTCTTCCGGGCACCGTGCACAGTAAACAATGGAATTTACACAAAATCGAGGAAAATTCCTAGTCAGCGTCGAGTAATTTCCCCGATCGTTCATGGTGCGTATATGGTAGCACTTATGAAACCCGTCACGCAGGGTTTGAGCCTGTTTCCATGGATTTTCCTCGAACTTTAACGCGATTTCCTAAACAGGTGTACGATTACCCAGCATCCGTCGTGGAAGGAAATGAAGGAACAAAAGCGTGTCGTGAATCGTCGGTATGTACGATGAAGTATCGCGAACTCGGGAAACTTGTTCGATGACCGTGACTTAGGGACCACTCGATGGGACTGGTTTTGTCCATCTGGCGCCAGTCTCCCACGGGGAGATGCTTGTTTGACGCAGAGGATCGTTGCTCCACGACCATCGATGTCTCCTCAGTCGATCCACGAACGCGACAACGAGCGCAGCGTTCCGCGGCCGCCTGATCATCCTACGCCGATCACGTGACCGGTGTTTCTAGTGACATTTTTTCGCGTCGAACTTTTACTGAACGTTTCTTGGGCTTGAAAAGTTTTCGCGCTACGGGCGATTGATTTGGTGGAGTTGTTTTGTTTGCATTTGCAAATATCTGGTAATTTATCTATTCTCACGTTATCTTCGTTAGGATAGATTCTTATGCTTTCTTTTTTTATATTACGAGAATTCAATGTGGATGAAGTTTTCACGTACCCTCACGAGGAAACTCGACTTCCGCTAGGGGACAAGTGGCGTAGACGAAGGGCCTTCTAACACTTGGTAAATTCATTTCAAGTACTGAAATAAATGTGAAATCGAATTTTAATTTGGCAGAAATTATCGATAATTCCCGACACCAAGTGGTAGGAGGCCCTTCCCCTTCGCCGCTTTTTCCTCTAGCGGAAACTGAGTTTGTATGTGAGGGTACTATCTGGTAATTGTTCCTTCTCATTGCTTCATAAATATTCGTATTTTGTATTTCTTGAATTTGACGTCGATAAAGATTTTCTTTAACCCTCGCGCACTATTAGGATCAATCTCAGTATTGAATCAATGTTCGATTATTCATCATAGTTTGTGCTGTAGAAATTAAGTTAATTGGATACAATTACACTTCAGCAGTTCAGATTTATTCTTGTCATACTTCCTTAAATTTCCATTTTTCTACCAAGACTGTGGATTGTATGCATTTCTAAAATACAAACAAATGTTGGACACACAATACCCTCTGAATGTTATTAAGAATTTAAAACAGTCCTTACCCGATTCTTAACTGGTATAATACTTAAGAAAAGGAATACATGTTTAAGCAATAAACAAATAAAGTTTGATTCTACACAAACATGCGCTTATCAAAGTCTGGATTAAATAAGAGGCGCCATAAACAAATCAATGTTAACAGCCTAGTAAAAAAAGCACCAAATAGAAAAATGTAACAAATGTGTGTTAATAAGTCGTTTCTTATCACACAAAGGTTATCTGAACGGAACTGTCTCTATCTCGCATCAGCAACCTTTCGAGGTCATTTCGAAAATTGTTGAAAACTGTATCGATCGTGACTAGATCGGTAATCGGTAACACCGTTTGTTCCGTTCGCGTGGCTCCCACGACGGTGAAAGTTACGCTCGGAAGAAAGAGCAGGTGACACCGAAAGGATCAAAGGCTCGAGGAGACAAACTAGCAAGAAGGACCGAAGCCATTAAACTATCTCAAAAACTTTTCATTTTCGACGATCGATCGCGACAGAAAGTTAATTATCTGATTCGAATTGGAAATTTCGTACTTCATACCGGAAGTGAACGGGGCACCCGGAAGACCGGCAGATTTTTCTCGTGTGAGGTTAGTTTCGAAATTCCCGTCATGGCTGTCGCTTGTTCTTGCGGGTCGCACCTTATTTTTGTCGACACACATGTAACAATCGGTTAGAAAGTTTTACATCGCGAATCGAATTTTAATAGGCTGTTGCAAAGTACATTGAACTGTGAATGTTTTTATTGATTTTAATCGTTCAACACTGGGAACTACTAAAGTAGTCACAATGATTGATTGGTTCATTGTTATAATGATGATTAAAATATTACAACAATGCAATTTCTCAGATTTTTCTAAACTTTCATTGTAATACGAAAAATCAAGAAATTTAAATATTTTCAAAAGTTTGTTGTTAAAATAGATATATTAGTTGTAGTGTAAACTATGTTGCGTCTGTATTTGTAGTACACCTTCAAGCTATTCGTTATCTGACAATGGAATATGATTATTTTAATACCTGTTTGACGATAATGTTGAAGTTTTTCCTCTTCAAATCAAAACTGACCTACTCGTTAGTCCGTATCTGTATTTTTATCAAATTTCCATGTAAACGCACGCAGTTGTGATAAAATTCAGATAATGATTACACGTGCACCGGAAACATTATGCAATGGTACTGATTATCTCGAATGTCATTCACAAGTATTTATTATTTGGTAAGTATTTGGAATTTTTGAACAATATTTCACACCCCTACGTCCTTGTTCTAATATTTGTTGATAATATTAGATTCTTTTGACGTAGAGAATATCGTGAATAAAATTGTGATTCTTGGAGGAATTGGAATTTAAAAATGCCGCCATTTTGCTCGAAACTGGTTCCTCGTTAATAACACCAATTAACTGACGAAAAATCTAGTTTTTTAAGATGCATATAAATTACAAAATTGATTCTTCCTCGAATTAAATATCACACATGTATAAATAGAATATGAATCTTAATTTACATAAAACACCAACTAGATATTTATATACCGAAATAAACAACATAATAGATTGTAACGTTTCGAGATTTCAAATTTTCCGCCATTTTGATCCAAACGACTTGTTTGCAGAGGAAGTCCAAGTGAATAATACCTAGTTCCAAATCGATTCGTTCTTCAACATTTTAAACGAATACCTTGCAAAAATGATTTCACAGACCTCTCAGTGTTCCATAAAACGCGAGCACGAATGTTCTGGCAGTAACGTTAAGATTAAAATTCAAGGCTCGTTCCCTCGATCGTGAAATAACTTCTACGATGAAGGAAGCGTTCGATGTAAAACACCTTGTAACGCTTACAGCCGTAAACGCGAAAATTATAGAGAAATCTCGTTGTAATGTCATCGAATAGATCACGTCGATAAATAACTATAAATCACGTCTTCGTGAATGGTAATTACTTTGTTTGCGTTCAGAGATGAGGTGTCTTTGGTGGACGATCTTGGTGGTCGCTGCCGTTTCCGGTTCGCCGACCTTCGAGAAGCTGAAGAGTATCTACTCGTGGAAAGCCCTGGAATTCGCTTTTCCCAGCGAGTCTGCCAGACAAATCGCCATTCAGAGTGGCAATTATATTCCTGGGGCACCGCTTCCGATCGATGTCGACGTCTACAACGGGGGTAAGTTCGAAATGACTCACTGAAATTGTAGAAAAGGAACATAATTCACTGGTGTAGATCGATGGTCTATTACTGGAATTCCAACGTAATGGAGGGAAAAATGTCTGACACAATTTATTTGGATCGTCACTATAATATTAATTACATGACTCACTTTTTTTTTTTGTAAGTGATAGTATTCTAACTTTGAGAAGAAAAGTTTAAGTTCGTTTCATCTACAGATAAATATCCTTTTTATATTATTGACATCGGGGGATTGTAATATCTTTACGAATTAGTCAGTAGAAGTTCGACTATAAAACAGATTTATGTAATAAAATGAAATGTAAAACTTTAAATATCCTGAAATAACAAAACAAAAATTCAAAATAAATGGCTCATATTTATAAGATTGCAAATGTCACTGTTTAGGAATTTAATATTTTTCTTATCCATGCCATTTATGGTAGTGAACAATTTAGGGTTTTCATTACTTCCTGGAGTACAAATCTGGTTCGTTGACACCGAAGGTTCATCGGCCGCGGAAAGATTGAACTCGCTACAATTCTTCCTCGTCCGACGAACTGGATTAATGTAATACGATCCGGTTTCATTTTCAAGGTAAACACTCGCGGGTGTTCGTCGCCATCCCGAGAATTCAGAACGGTGTTCCCGTGACCTTGGGTTATGTCACGGATCAGGTGTCGCCGAATGGAGACCCAATAATCGAGCCGTATCCGAATTGGAGCTATAACACCCTAGGGAGCTGCGATTCGATCAGTAGCGTCTTCAGGATGCAGGTAGCGTTGAACTTTTTAGTCCTTTTCGCATTTGTATTGGTGTAGATGATGCCTATTTGAAACTTTTGAAAACGTGGGAAGAATCTTAACAGTAATTTGTTTAACAACTTTGGTTTCAATTCCCATAAATTCCCACCATTTTTTATGAATTTTCAAGAATTCTTAAGAAATCCTACGAATTTGTAAGAGTGCCTACAGATTTCTAAGAATTCCTATGGATTTCCAAGAATTCCTAAGAAATTCTACGAATTTGTAAGAATTCCTATAGATTCCTAAGAATTCCAACGAATTGCTATGATTGATTATGAATTCCTCGAAACTGTTATGAACTTTGTGAATTCTCATAAATTATGAATACTAGACAACTTCAATGAATATCCATAAGTTCATGTACGTAAGTTTTCCATTTATCTCTGTCAGCTTTAGAATTACCTAAGCATTACTATTTGTACAAACTGTCGGCCTGACTCATTCGTTGTTTTAACTGTACACAGTATCTGGCACATTATGGACTCTGAGTTTTCAGCTGTCAATACGGTCGGTCCTTGGGAAAACAACGTCTCGATAATGGAGTGTTTTTCTGCGAATGATGATTAATTTCGCAACAAAATACCGTATGACTTTCGAACGGTATTAAGAAAGCACGGAGAAAGAATTCTTGGTGCACACATTTGCGTTTCGAACACGTACGGGTAATTCCTGATTGGTAAGGTTCAGTTGACCGTTATTGCGGGAATCCCCAGGCGTATCTGGGTGTACAGGTTTGAATGAAAGTATAGGAAACGACAGGTTATCACCTGGAAATCGTTGAGTTATAGTCCTAGTTACACGCACATAAGCAATGATGTTTAATTCGTTTTCCTACGGATTAGGTTTTTCTCCAAATCCATTAATTATCATAAACTTACAATTATTCAACTATATTCTACATTCTTCTTGTGTCGATTTTATCACTTTTTTATTAATAAAACTATCTACAATTTATAGATAATTTTGTCACCCATGTACATAAACGAAAGATAGTTCAGAAGAAATATACGGGATGTTTGTAAATAACCATAAAATTTTCGAACAAATTTTTACTTCATAGAAGGATCTTAATATTCGAGAAAAATATTTCTCAAGGAAACATTTAAATATGTATCCCAAATATTGTAGAACGCCGTTCAATCTATGTATATTATAAAATACGCGTTATGATATGAAACGAACAACAAATATAGGTCTAAATTTCTTATAACAATCGAAACATCGAGGCATCACAATAACAAACCAAAAAAAGAAAACAACTTAAACTCGTATGAAAATATGATCATCCGATTATCCAAACATTATGTTGCTTCTCCACTTTGCATAAACGAGATTCCATCGTACTCTAACCTCGAAAATATCAACATAAACCAACCATTCGACATTTTTGTTACCCAGATAGACCAATGTGGCCGTCTATGGGTGCTCGACACGGGCAAACAAGGGGAGCAATTGATCTGTCAGCCGCAATTGCACGTGTTCAATCTCCACACGAGCAAGCTAATCACCAGGTACAAATTTCCGAAAGATCAGTTCAAAGAGAACTCTCTGTTCGTCACGGTGGTCGTCGACGTTCGTGACGCCGATCGCGGATGCAAGGACACCTACGCGTACATCGCTGACGTGACAGGATTCGCGTTGCTCGTCTTCGATTATCGTCATTCGAGATCTTGGAAGATCTATAATAACCTATTTTATCCCTACCCGCCATATGGAACCTTCTACATCAAGGGCGACACGTTCGATCTGATGGATGGGATTTTGGGACTCGCTTTGGGCCCCGTTCAAAATGGGGACAGGATGCTCTATTTCCATTCGTTGGCCAGCAGAGTCGAATCACGGGTACTTACATCTGTAATCAGGTGAGTTAGTGACATCTCATTGACTACTTAAGTTTTTTTTCAACGCAAATGATCTTGTACCCTACATCAACACTTTGACGTTCTTTGGTGGTTGGATGTGTGACGCATCTTTTGGTTGTGAAGCTAAAAATGAACATAAATAAGAAAATGTTAAATAGATGGTTCAAAATGCTGAATTATACAGGGTGGTAACTGGTGGTACAAACGGAAAGGCGATTCGACATAAAAAAAAAAAATAAGTCGAAAATGCAGAATAAAATTTTTTCGTATAAGGCTTTGTTTTCGAAATAATCGACTTTAAAAATTAATATGAAACCCGTGTATCCATCATGGTAGTAAGTAGAAAGGGAATGCAATGAACAGACGCGGTAGCCAGGTCCTATTCAATTGCACTCGAAGGTTTAATGGCCTGGGCCACAAGAAATCTTAATCCAGGCCTGACTGCATTAAAAAGTTTATTTTAGTGTATTTCGTAAGTTAAGAAATGCTGTAAATGCATAAACATCCCCAGTCTAATCATAACGTTAAAGTTTATAATAAAATATTAATCGAAGATTCGACAGAACTCTACTAAACTTCAGCAACCTACTCAAATATTCACGTCTTTTCTAGAATATATCAGTCTTGTTTGTTATTGTAAAATTATTTTGTTCTTGGTTAGGAATTACACGCTGTTCCACGAGAATGCAGAAGCTGCAGCCAGATCGTTCGTTCCGTTCGAGCAGCAGAGGTCTTCGCAGTCCGCGGCGGAGGCGATGGATCGTAATGGGGTCCTCTTCTTCGGTCTGTTGTCCGATCTGGCGATCGGATGCTGGAACAGCAAACACTATCCCCAATACGGAGATCCCAATAACGAGATTCTCATCACCAATCCGGACACTTTGCAATTCCCTTCTGGATTAAAGGCACGAACACATCTATTCAAATTTATTATAATCACATTGTAGAGTTTCTGACAAGCGTGAGTTAGGTTAGGTTCCACACCAAGGCTACCGAACCCGTCAAAATAGCGGACCTCATATTTCTTGTTATGTATATAATTACTGAAATCGTGAGGATGCTTGCGACGGAATTTCTTCACTTTTACTTTACTAATACATTATTTATAATACTCAATAATATATTATACAGTCCAGCTTAATGATATATTCAAGGCTAGTAGTAGTCATTGCACCACTTGTGACCAGTGGCGGATCCTATCGACAGTAATAAAACATAAAAATATTATGTCACATTCTAAGAAACTTGTTGGGTATTACTTTGATTCTTTATAACGAGTAGACAATTAATATGAATTATTTAGGCTATAGTATCATATAGAGACATTAAAATATAAATTACAAGCAATTTTTGAATTTTGTAAAAGAATGCTCAAAAATATGTTTATATACTTTTACACCCCAACTCCCCCCCAAAGGAACGTTCCTGGATCTGCCACGGCTTGTGATATGTACACAGTTTAATTCTGGATTATTTCTGCCTCTGTGATAAAGATCTTATTGTTATTAATGTTATTACAGATCATAACGTCAAAGGAGGGTGTGCAAGAGCTTTGGATTCTGTCCATGTCGTTTCAGAAATACATGACCGGCTCCCTGAATTCGAACGAAACGAACTTCCGGATCCAGGCCGGCTACGTGCACGAATTGGTCCGCGGTACCAATTGCGACGTAACATCGTTGTCGGTCACGAACGGTGGTGTTCGTCAAATCGGATGAAAATCGTGGCACCGCGAGCAGTTTTCCAGCTATTACCACGAGAGCTCGTCGCCATTTTGGCGGTACTCCGTGTTCACGAGCAAACCGTTCTTGGTGAACGATCATTATACAACCTTCTATCCGCGAAAGTATTTCAGGAATTATCATTTTCCCTATTTTCAAACCGTGGATCACGGATACACTCTTTTGGTGGATCACAGTTGATCGTGGACGAGTAGAGGAAAAATTCTATGAATTTTGTCATCTAAGGTTTCTATTCCTTCTGCTCGTGGTGCTTTAAACGACGTTATTGAATTTACGAGGGTCTTTTCGATGGAGAAGATTATACAGGATTTAAAAAATGGAGTGTTGTATGACTTACATGATTATTCGTATTTATTGTTGTGTGTGTAATTGTATAGCGAGTCGAGGGACTGTGTTATGGTGGCTGTGTGGACTTCGAAAAATTGTTTTTGATGTATAATTGTTATGTTGACTATATTCACTGTTGAGTTAGATCGGTTTTGAGTAGTTCCTAATGGATACATGGAAAGTGTGTGTGTGTCTCATGAATATAAAGTTTTAAGTAGATTATTGGCGACCAGAGTTTAATATTAAGTGAAGTTTTTAAGAAGAGAAGGATTTGGAGTTGTCACAAAAATGTTGCAAGCAAGGTGTATAGTTGTAATGAGATTAATTTGTTTAATAAAATTAGAAAATTGTCCTTATCATTTATCGTTATTCATACGGTATATTTTAATTTAGGATGTTTATGCATTATATCGATGGGAAATCAATGGTTAATCGACGTTTATATCTTTGGAACTTTCATAGATTAACAGTGAAAGTACAGTACAGGCATGAAGTGATATGTTATTTTGTAAATGATTGATTGAATAGGACTGTAAGAAAAATCGAATAATACTATAAAGATAATAAAAAAATATAATTTTACATTTTCTATCATTTTCTACCTGGAGCCAACGACCGTTATTTCTGATAAAGAACATCTTTCATAGCAATGTGCTAATGGAACGTTTGAGGAAACAAAAGGGTAAAACCATTGAAAAATTGACTTTCCTTGTTAGATGTATCTTCTGCGATAATACTTTGTAAGTAACTATACGCTTTCAGTTGCACACAAATTGCTTTTAGTATTCGTTACAAAAAGTTATAAATTGTCTAAACGCGATAAAATTCCATTATCATATTCTACTTATCACTTAAGATAGTAAATATTTCAGAAGAAATTTTTACCGCCGTACGGTCATGCCCTCTTTGCCGCGCAACTTTTATTCTCCAAAATTCAATTTTTGTATTATGCATTTATAGAATATGTAGTCGACTAAAAGCGAGACAGATTTCTTTTTGTATTTCGATCGTAGCAGGACCCCCAACAGAGTAAATAAATTCATTTCGCTGTTCCACTATCGAGCAAATAATCCATAAGATTCAATATTTCCCCGAACATCCGCACTTTACATATTCAAATGGCAGCTATGAACCCTTGTTCAACTGAAAATGCTGAAAATTTACACCAGACTTATTCATCCACCTCGAACTTATGCATTTATAGAAGAGTACGGATTTTACACATTTATGGAACATTCAGTCTTATGAAATTGAGTACAGTAAATAGGTTCACAATGTTTAATCGTTTTTTTTTTTCTGTGTTTCGAACCTAGCAGATTCCTTAATAGGGTAAACAATTTATTTTCTGTGTTCAGTTTTGAGAAATTAATTTAAAAGATTCTATATTTGCACGAACGTATGCCGACTACAGACTCCTCTCGATTATTGTCTGCCTTGTTCTACACGATTATTGTCCTGGCATCATCCACACCACTGGGGAGAGGGGGTGGAACCTGTCAAGCGCATACTTTGTTGTCGAGGCTCGGGCTTCGGGCAAAAAACGAATTTACGATGGTTTGAAGTATTTCTATCTATACGATTATTGTCCCGGTGCGGACCAGAGTTCGGGACGATAAACAAGAGGAGTCTGTAGATATCAAGACAACCACCACGAAACCTTGTTCCACTTTTAATTACTGAAAATTTATGTCAGACCAAGCAAATGTAACCGAGCCGGTGTGACAAACAATTCATCCACCTCGTCAAACACTGTTATCAATGCTCGATGATTGTTCCTTTTAAGTAAGCTAAACGCATTCAAAAGTTTTCATAAACGGCGGAAAGTCGCGAAATTAAATATGAAAACGTTTACTGTTTTCCCTGTAATATCGTCTTATCGTCTCGCCTTATCTGTCTGCACACCTGGAGGTCACTAATATATATTTACTACGATGTTACCTGGCCACATTTATCCAGACACCTGTTGTTCTTCCTTCGTGCTGCATTCGTTGTTCGCCAAGATTCACTGTTGCTACTGATTGCTTCTTCGAAGACGAAAGGGGCACGTGTGGACAAGAGGTAGAGAAATTTAGAAAAATCTCCACTACATAACGTAGGTACATATTTCTATTCGTATATTAAATTATTTGTCAATTTCATTTTGTTTTTGCGACCATTACATTTTATAGAGTGTAGTGTAAAAATTTCAGAGACATGTGCATTTCGTGGCTGTTAGCGTTCTGCTTCGGCGTGATTTCCTTGGAAAACACAGTGCTAGCTGCACCTCTAACGGTAATAAAGGAGTGGAATTATATAGATTTCCTTTGGCCGAACTCATCGCTGAAACAACAAGCCATCGAAACTGGCAATTATGTGTCAAAGAACATTATTCCCATCGACGTAGAAATAATGCGATTGGGAGGTAAGATGCGAAACAATGGAACTCTATAAATATTAGGCGACAATTTGGTTCAGATCCGTGTATTTTTATGCAACGTAAAATCTTGTTTCTAGATAAAATATTTGTTACCACAATAAGAGACAAAGGCGTGCCAGCGTCATTGTCGATTGTCACCTCGAAAATGGGCGAAGGTGGTCCACTGCTAGCCCCATATCCCAATTGGGACTATGCTAAAACGGATACTTGTAACGGAATCATCAGTACTTACAGAGTCGCAGTAAGTAGACACTTTGAAATCCATCGATCTAGCCTGGTTTCATTTTGATTGGTCCGACTTGGAATCGTACCTCCCATACTTCGATTGTCCCAAAAGTTTCCCAATTGAAGTTGGAACAACAATATTTCACCCCCCCCCCCCCAAAAGGTGGAGATAACGCCCGGACAATAATCGTGTAGAACAAGCCTGACGATAATCGAGATGAGTCTGTATTAGGAAATATCCTATATAATCTTGCATAACAACTCGAGGTTCGATAAACGGTCAGAATTACGAACACCAAATCGATTCTTTACGAACCACATTCTCTCGTTTCACAGCTACAAGAATTTTTATTTTTTGTCTACAGATTGACAGGTGTAATAAATTGTGGGTGCTGGACACCGGAATAATCGGCGAGGAGGTGGTCTGTCCTCCCAAGCTTCTGGTCTTCGATCTGTCGAACGACCGGTTAGTGAAAACGATAGAAATACCAAAGGACGTGGCAACCAATTCCACGTCAGGCATGGGATTATTGGTCACTCCGATTGTGAAAAATTTCGGGTTACGCTGCGAAATAGTGAACGTACGCGGTTTGAAGCTATCATTTAGTTTGATATTAGTTTGACTTTAGTAGATTATTCGTACAAGGTTGTATGATTTTAGGTGTACATAGCGGATGTAATGGGTTACGCCATAGTGGTGTACAACGGTAAGACGTTCCGTCGAGTGACATCGGCAGAGCTCGTCTTCGACCCGAAAGCGGTCAACTACACTATCGAGGGTCAAAGCTTCCAGCTGGAAGATGGTGTTGTCGGCATGGATGTGTCCGATAGGACAAATAAACTTTACTTCAGTCCCATGTCGTCTTACAACATGGGCTACACCAGGACCTATGCGCTCAGCAACTACAACAACAACAACGTACCCTTCCAAGTGTAAGTATGGTGTTAATTATCTTCCCTGCGCTTGTTAACCTTTTTGATACGACACATCTTTTTTACACGTACCGAGGAGCAATAAAAATGTTGTCGGTGTTTTCGTGCGTTTAGAGATTCAATTAGATATACAGACTCCTATCGATTATCGTCCCGAACTCGGGTCAGCGTCGGGACAATAATCGTATAGGTAGAAATGTTTCAGACCTTCGTAAATTCAGATTTTCCAACCCCCCCATTCCCAGTGGTGGGAATAATTCCTAGACAATAATCGTGTAGGACAAGCCAGACAATAATCGAGAGGAGCCTGTAATCTTTAAATAAGAAGACAAACGTTCAGTGGAAACTTATTTCCAATCAAATTTAATATTGAATAGGTAGAAATGCTTCAGATAGTCCCCCATAGCATCGAAAGGGTTGAACTGACTGCTTAGTGACCTTGAAAATTGGATGACACTTTGGAAAATTTTTGTACAGTCTGATAAAGTGAACACAAACATTACATTTCATATTCTCTGAAATTCTGACAATTTCTTGGGATATTGAAAAGTTGTCTTCGATTCCAGAGCTCACGATATTTTGCCTACTCAGTCAAGCGCTAAGGCTATGTCAGCTACGGGAATTCTTTTTTACGGACTTGTCGGTAACACGGCGATCGGATGCTGGAACGAAAGGATGCCGTTAACCAAGAACTATATGGTCAGTACTTCAATAACTCGCTTTTCTATCTAGACTTTGTTCCCTAGATAAAGACTAGGTATTGAATAACAATAAGAGACTAGTCGCCCATGTTTTATGGAATAAAATGGAGAATTGTAATTTTGAAAATTAAACAACCATCCGATTTCTCTGATCACAGGGGATTGTCGCCCAGAATTCTACGACACTGCAATTCACCAGCGGCATGAAAATCAAGGGCAACACGATGTGGGTAATGACGAATCGGTTTCAAAAGGGGGCGACCGGAACTCTGAACATTAGCGAGGTGAATTTCCGCATATTGAAAGGGAATATCGATGATCTGGTACGAGACACTGTCTGCCAGATGCCATTCCTCTTTGGCTAACTACGAACGTCATTGATTCTTGAAATATCATGCTACTGTATGATACTGATGGTTATACCAATAAGTAGTCCACTATTTTTTGGCGAATCATTTCTGTAGAAGCCTAGGTTCTATATAGTTTAATTTCTATTAAGAACGATATTCTGACTTCTTACGTATCTTCTACTTAGTAAATAGTTTAAAAGATAATTTTTAATTTAAAACTAGCACCCCATGATTAAAGAACAATAGTGGATTACTTATTGGTACACAGATGTTGTTTGTTATTTGATGTCTCGATATAAGTACCCTGTATATGTGTTTGTGTTAAAAGTTACGATACTTTAATGACGGAAATAAATATTATTCTTGCAAACTATCCCCTTTCCATTACAATTGCCTGTATATACTTCATTACAAATGGCCGTTTCTGAATTTATTGCTCTGAATTTCAGATCAATAATTAGTCTCGGTACTGATCACAGCTAGCTCCTTGAATAAATGAGGTTCACATTCTTAAATCTTAATGAATACTGCAAGAGTCTTAGGGATGTTTCCTTTACTGAAACTTAGGGAATCCTTAGGATGAATATAATATGAATGGACAGTAGATTTTTATGGAAAATTACATTTTCTAAAGTAATTTATGACGACAGGACGAAATCTAAATTTTTTTTTTCAACAATATCCAGATCTTACAAGCTTCGATATATCTCGATTTCTATTTGTTATAATTATTAACAATCTGCATTGAATAAAATATAGAAAAGTTTGGAAATTTTTATGGTCAAGATAACGCAAGATTTCGACCGCCGAGTGACGCACGTGGTTCGTTTTTGTAAATCAAATAATGCCTTTCCACCGGCATTCTATACAAATATTCGGTACCTGAGGAAAGTAACGAGCACATTCTTCATATTAGTCAGTGATTAGAGTTCGAAGAGTGAACACCAATGCCACGTAACGCGGAAATGTACACAGTGAGTAGAACTCTCTTATTAACACACCATCGGCTGATCGTCTAAAATTAGTAGTTGTTTCGAACTTACGTGGACAGACGTTACGCAGTGAAAGTTTCCGCAAACACAAACGCGAAATTGACTTTCCGAACATTATTAAAACTATTTAATATTACTAGCAATGATAGATATACATAGGTACCGTTTAGGTTCAAATGCGCTAGAAACACTAGTCAGGCTTCGAAATGTTTACAAAGTTCCAAGAAAGTCACATTAATATCGAAACATTCGTTTTCTACGATTATACTTTTCAATGATAATTCAAATTAAAGAGGGAAGCACGATAATGTACAAGCGTGTTCACGGGGAAACATGTAACACGTTCCTCTTCCGTGACGTAAGGCGAAGAATCATATTAGATGCATCGATAACGTGGAGGCCGTTACATATACTAATACAAACGAGATCGGCGAAGAAAAAGCGAACGAGCCTGTTGAAAAACGCTCGTTCGCTTTCTCGGTTCCTGTGCAGTCCAGCAAACGGTCCCCGAGCGTCAGTCCGCGGGATTAAGCAATCACGGACGGTCCGTCGATAGTTGTCTCCCTTGAGGAAAACGATTTGTCAGATCGTTCTTAAAATTTGATTAATAAACTTATATTTTCGTATGTAAATTCGATGTTGCATAACTACGAGAAGGAAGCAACGTGGGAGTCGTTGGACTGAATATTTTCTTCGAGTGACGAGGAAGTGGTTTTAAATACTTGGAATTTTTTTTTTTTATGTTATCAGTTTCATGATTCGTGGAGGACATGATTTTGTGATGCATTTATACTGGTAATAAATCGGTTACAGTGAAGTGAGACACGGGGAATCGGAAGGAAGACTTCGTTTCAACTTCTGAAAGTAAAGCCGCGTTTCCACTTGTGAAGTAATGTAACAGATGAAGTTATAATTTTTCATTTTATTTAATGTATACTCTCTTATTGTCATTTATAATATAGTTATTATTCGATATATGGTATTAGGTGTACAAATTAATTCGTGGCCTTCTTTCCACAGAATTGTTAATTATTTACAAAAAATCGAAATACAGTGTAGTCCTGAAAATATTCCCCATCACTTTCTATACATTTACTATATTTTTGTTAATGGCGATTTTAAGTCAATAATTGTGGAAATCACGAATTAATTTGTTCACCCAATGCTGGGCTCGAAGAAATTTAATGTTTCCATTTTTTTGGAACCTGTGGAACCCTTAATGGGGAAACCAATTACTATTTACTGTCCATTCATCGTCAGTACATAAATTAAAAGTGATTTTACAGTATACTGAATTTAACTATTTATAATAAAGTCATAAATTCTCTCATAAATCCGTGTCACGAATTCGTTTCTATTTACATAAGGTTAGGACCAAAATGGCGTCTGACCGGTGACGGACACGTTCTACAAGTGGAAACGGGGCTTAGGGGATGAAACGAAATTAACATAGAAGTTAAGTGAACGAATCAATCGCGTTATTTATTTTTTCACTGGCAAAATCCCGTGATATTCTAAAGAGGAAGTGGCTCGCGAAACCGAAACTCTCGATCTTCGGTGGAAAGCGGGATTTAGGTATGTTAAATTTCAAACGGTTTCGCGTCATTTACCGGCCGAGTCATTGGAACCAGCCAGACACGGCTCGAGGTAACGCGAATCATATGATCCCATTCCCCCTCTAGTTTCTCGACCAGTTCGATGGCCGTGAGCTTGACTTCTGCGATTGTAACGTATTGTCAAAGGATCCTGGCGTGTAATTTGCATTCAATCGGAACCAATTGCTCGTTCAACTCTGGATTCCTTTAATCCGTTCGATTTATTTTTGTACTTTTTGTCCAGAAAAAGGAACAGTACATTTCATTGAAACTGGTAGGGGTATGACTTTTCGAACAGTGTCAATGATACTACAAAAAGAAAAATTTTGATCGGACTTGTTTCGACACTCTTTTCTTTAGTTTATATCGTCATAACTGTTGCCACTGGGGCTTTAATATATTTTTTTTATAATTGTTTAATATTACATTTGTAACGAGCGTTCAAACAATTGCACAGATTTTGTTTTTCGAGCTGTTACGATCGCGAAGAAATTATTCGTTACATGTGTACTGGCTTAATATATTAATTTCGAAGGTTTTAAAATTACGAAAATCGTGGGAGATTGCGCGATAAGAGAAGGGGGAAGGCAAAGAAGAAGTGGAAAATGTGATCGATGATGTTCCCGTTTCTAATTTATGTAAGTTTATTAGTGTTGTAATTGAAGCGTAGGCTAACAAAATTTCCGTTCCGCTCTCAAACATTTGATTGTCGTAATGGAATATAACGTGATTGGAAATGCTTTCAATTGAATAATTAACTTATAAATATTATGATGTAACGAAACGAAAAAGTTTACAGACGTAAGAACAATTTTTTCGGGATTTAAAAATTTGTCTCTCTATTACGAGGATATATGTAGAGTTTCACGAATAGAATGTTTGGTTGCGAAAGTATTTCGGTTAACAGTGAATTTTTTGCGTAGGTGGAGGCAGTACACAAGGCAATTCTCTCGTTTTTCCACATGTAAATGCGCTTTCTTCTGAGTACGTTGAGAAACAGCCCGAATGAGAGCAAATATGCAGGTGCCTTACAATTTTCATTCTAATGAACATTATTTTAGTAAGACTGACATATTCTAATAACATAGTATCACTTCATATTTTTCTGCAATATTGAAAACTCCTAAATGTGTTTTATTTGCTTTTTCCGAAAAAGATAAATTTCATTTACCATAGATGGAGATTATTCAAAATCGAGAAACAAGATAAAAGTCGTGCCTATGAAACATTTTCATAATAGTCGTGACACTTTTGCTGCCTCTTACGTTAACACGAAAATACTCCACATTAAGATCTAACTATTTCTATGTTCACCGGTTTCATGCACTTACCTTCTACGATGGAAATTCTGCGGAGTCGTCCGATCCTACTGGAATTCTCATTAAAATTCGCGTAATCGCGTTACAATATTGGCAAGATTGGGAACCACTGACACGTGCTCGAGTTTACGTGTAATTCACTTCCTTGATCGCTCTTTCCAATCGAATTTGGTTATGTCCAGGTTATATCACCGTTTGACCGGTATCAAACGCTAATACAACACTCGGCGAATCCGTGTACTAACCTAAACAAGGCGAATAGCTTCGCGTCGACGAGTGCAAACCGTTACGAAATTCCACCTTGAATGGCGACGCGTAACGCAATTACGTCTGCGGTCCATGTTTTTTCACGACACTTTCACAACAACCCCCACGATTCGCGCTTCTTAATTCAGTCTGATTTTGTTCTGCGACGACCGATCTCCTTTTTCTAATTTCCCATACAAGGATCCCATGATGACGAGCAAGAAGCGAACTGTCCAACCGGAAGTGGGGTTATGGGGCCGTCAGAGGTCTCAGTGGTCGCCGATGAAACTACCGAAACGATCGAACAGCCATGTTTACGTGTCACCGAGTCACTCGTTTGTTTACACTTGGAACGACGCCGATTCTTTAAAATACTACAACCATGAATGTTTGCAACGGAAGTTACCTAAGCAACGATTGTCATCCGGCGCGGGTAAGTCTACGGACGTTTCCCCTAAAATAGTGGTGGTGAAATGAATCAATGTTCTAACATTTACGTGTCGTTTGATCTTTGACGGGATGTTAGCTGTAACGCTTGCGAAATGTTGGGATAATTTTTCCGAAAGGCCATCGCTTGTGTACTTGAAAGTCTCGATCAGTTATGTCTGTAAAGGCGCGTCTTCATCGCCGCGCGGGAAAAGTCGGATGACATTCCTGGCTGTGTGGATATTGTTTGAAAACTGTGCAGATATTTATTTGAAAGCTAGTAACATTGTGGATATATTAAAAAATATTTCGACTCAAAGTCTAGGGTAGTGGTATTAGAAAATACTTCAATGAGCAGTCGGAGATTTGAAGTTTTCGCGGTCTAGCACTGGTATATTTATTACTAGACTAGGGATGTTTATGCGTTTGGAGGATATTCGAATAAAATATCATGAAAAATACGTTTTTCTTGAACATTATCGAACCATTGATGAACAGAATGTATTTTTGATTGTCTCTAACTTTAGTGTTTTTTATAAAATTATATTTGCATAAATATTCAGAGTCTAGTTATTTTGACTTTGGAGTGTCCAGCTAGTTGAATGACACACTGAAGTGTTTCACAGAGTCCGGGGTTGCATTCAGTGTTGAAATGGAATTCACGAGTAGGATATGACCGCGTGGCGTTCCACAACCGTACAATTAAAACGAGTTTCGTTGCAGTAAAACAATGGCAGCGTGCAGACGGTGTGTCCTCGTAAAAATACGATTATGACTGGGCCGCGATGCCGTAAAGTAAATTGTTTTCCGGAAAAGCTGCACACGGGTATTGTCCGAATGTTTTCTGTTTCGTTGCCGCGGCAAAAAGCATTGCGATTGAAAGTCGCGCCAACAACGCAATGTCCTCGCTTTCGTGAATCGGCTGGACCACCGAATAATAATATTATTAATAAAACATTAATGAAATAGTCAGTCATGCTAACAAGTAAATCTTTTCAAATTGGACTACACTTGGCAAAAAAATAATTTCGTTAAACAAACGATACATATGTTATAAAAATTATTTACGTACTAGTTTAAAAATTCTCAGTGCTTTCGAACAAAATTTAGAAAAAAGTGCTCAGTGATAATGAAAGAAGCAGAATGAAGTCCTTCTCATTCAAGTCAAATATAGGTAAGTACATTAAGCCTTGAAGACCTTGATCGAATCTACTTTATTTATCGTTTCACTATGCGAATAAATTTCCCGCCAAAGGCTGAAACATACAAACAGATACATTCCTAAACGTGTTAATATGAAAGTGTAATCGCCCACTGCAGTTGGATCGTTGCACTCGCAATCGTGTTCTATCCGCCATTTGCGTCTGTCCTGAACAGAACGAAAGATAAGACACGTCCAATTACTAGACTCGTCCATATACAGAAATTCCGTTATGGTTGTAACAATTTGTAACACCGGCGATAATAACGATCCGAATAAAAACAGCACGTGCGTCGATCGCGATGCAGCAAGCGTTGCACACACACACACACACACACACACACACACACACACACACGCAGGCTTTCGGGGGGGAACAAACAAACGTCAAGCGAGTGTGAAATGCTTTTGCCTTGAATGGAATACAATCATCGTGGAATCTCAATCCTCCTTCTCGTCCAATTTATCTCCGTCTTTCACTTTTCACCATCTTTCTCTCTATCTCTGTCTCCCTTTCTCCTCTTTTCTTCGAACAAGGTATACCAACGTGAATCGAACGGTTCTCACGAGATTAATGCTGGCGTAACGATGCTCCCCGATGCATTCGGCCGAACGGATTCCCTCTTTCGCAACGACAAGACCGCGAACGATTGCTTAAAACTTCGCTCTAAATATCCATGCCTCCCATCGGCGCGAGCAGAACGGATTCAGTGTAAATATTGTGAGAAACAGGGGACCCACCACTGTCGTGGAACGGCTGTGTTTCCGTTAATTACACGGTTGCTTAATCGGCTCATGTACGGAATGATGATCTGCAACCGTGTTTTTACACGTGTCAGCGTCTCGTATGGTTAATTAAATCATCCATGCTGTGGACATTATTTTCACCTGTTTGCTACCTAATGTTCGACACGATTCGTTTGCGAGATAAGGCCACCCCATTGTTACGATGGAAATTCGGTTGAGGGGTTGGACAATAGTACGGGAAATAAAATGGCGCAGGTTGAGAAATTTGAACCAATTGGATTTAAATTTGGAAGTAGAGGATAGAGGTTCGAGACGAATGTACAGGGTGTAAGAAATATCCATGGATCAAAAGGTGTAGAATCATCCCTGAAAGCCATGATATATAGGGTGTGACAATAGTGCAGGTCCCTGAAAGGTCAATCAAACCTGAATCTATGAATGTTATAAATGTATTTGTTAAGAATTCGTTAAATACGACAAATAGTCTCCTTAAATAAATGAAACTACAAAACGGTGTAGAATTGACCATATCTTCGAACGTATCGTCCAAATCGAATTTCTGATAGAGTGTAGATAATTAACTCGGGAATGGTTGGCTCTAAAATGTCACTGACTCACAGAAAAACGTAAAAGGAATCACCTTTACCGAGCTTCTTATAGATATCTCGCGTGTCTCGAATACCTCACATTCAAAGGAACTAAAAAATCAGTATGAAAAATTGTCAAATTACGTTATCTGAACACAAATTTTCATCCATTATTAAAACGAAATAAGAAACTAGTTGTTCGGTTTTCCATAAATAAATCTGAAAATTTCAAGTTTAAGGATAGTATAACATTTCTTTTTTAGTGAGCAAATACATATCCAAAAAATTGTTTAGGTCTTCAATACTACTAAAATAAAAATAAGAAACTACTTCTCCATTTTTCCTTAAATAAACCTGAAAATTTCCAATTCAAAGTGTAGTAACATTTCTCCCTCAGTGGGTAAAAACATATCCAAACGTTTAGACGTCAAGATTACATACCATTACTTGCACACACTATAAATATTATTCGAATAAAATTGTGCCTCTGTTCGGATCGATATTGAAACGTCAATCAACGTTTGTCGGATCATAATTTTCAGGATTCACTTAATCTGATGGCAGGAGGCTCCCTGATTCGTTGATTTCGCGAGCACGAAAAGGGGATCCCCATGAAATCGCCGCCAATGACCTATACCGCAGCCTCGTAAAACGAACGAGAGGGAAAATCTTCCACGAGAGAAGGGATTCGCCATTCTCTCCTTTCGTAGTTGCACCTAGACACACTTATGACCCGGATAGTGAATATGGCAGTCGGGTAGCATCCACGGTCTCATCCCGAGCAACCGAACATCTCTATTTGACCGTTCGTCGTTCGCGTGTTCCTCGTGGCGGACACCCTGCAACCGAGTTTATTCTTTTCTTTTTTCTTTTTTTCTTTGTTCATCGGTCAAATTTCTTCTCACGTTTTCCATATATCATTCGACCGGCGTGTACTGCCTGCGGGGGAGTCAAAAGTCAGTGGGTCACCTTGAGGAACATTTTTTTTTTACCTGCCTTTGGAATCCTTCAGGTAATCGGACGGAATTGAACGGAGATTTCGTAAGTTTTGTTATTGTTGTTAACGGTGGATTGATAAGACGAGTTGAGGTTTGTTTGAAATATTGGCTGTTTATAGGCTGAAGATTCTTTGGTAAATGATTGTGCAATTTTATGTATTGAGACACGGTGTAACGAACGACATTTGTAGATTGTGAGATAGTTATTTAGTTGGATTGGGCATATCGAAAGAAGAACTGACAGATTCTGTTGATTTTTACCGGATTGTCTGATGGGTAGCAATTTAGCTTATGGATCGTATTCTGCTTTGATTGCAACAATGTTTTTCTTATTGTCGCTTTGTTTAATAATTTTTTGAATTAAGAATTTTAGATATTACAGTCTTATAAAAGTATTTGGCGCCAACAATCTAAAAATTGAATGTTTTATACCGTAAACTAGATCAATATTAGAAATAGATAATCGGATTTGAATAATTATGACTTACTTATTCATCGATAGGATAGCTTTTCTCGAGCGAAAGTGATCACGACGTTCGTCACCTTGAAAGTCGTTAAACCGCAGATTCATCTCGGGTCGACGAATGCGTTCGCTTTCCATTTAAATTCACCGTCTTCCTGTGCCGTCGCTTCGCTCGTTCCGTGCACGCGTTAATTAACCGTTATTACCGTTATTATGCGCTATTATGCAAACTTCGTGGTTCAAAGCGACTAGAAGACGTAATTCCATTTTCGACACCTGTCGGAGACAATTTGTAGGCAAATGAAGAATAAATGAAGTAATTCTGTTTCTTTAATCGACTTTCGTTTTCAAATGCAAACACGTAATCTAACAGCAAGAATTAGAGTTCTAACCATTATTTAAAACGTTTCTTGAAGACATGCACTGTCAACCAAAACTTTAGATCCCTTCTCTGAGTAGAGATACGTGAATCGTTAATTATTAGTTTATTATTAGTTACTTCAGTTCGACGAGTATTATTCAATTGAATATACTTGAAACTTAATTTCACCCATACAAAACAAAGTTAGTCGACAGAACTACATATCCTGGAAGTTCTTGCACACTACCCCATACAATTTCCAAGATGGCGGCCTAGAGAGTAGCTTATCTATCTAGAATAAACGTTCCATCAGAGTCCCTCGTCCGGGGTGCAGTACTTAAACCGCAATCACGACCAAGAAACAGCATGGGGCAGAGGAGCATCGATAGGAAAGTAACGATAATTGTAGAAGCATGTCACGATACCAACCGACTACGGGAACACCATTCCAATCGCGTGTCGTGCCCGCCATTCTCTCGTTCTGGTGTGACTCTCATGGGCTCCATTGCATCGACAATTTATCGACAAATCGAACAACATACGGTGGCTCACGGAAATTTTTAATAATTATAAATTTAATTGAAAATTTAACAGAACGTTCTTAAAAGCTTCAACATTCGATTGCTACTAAAAAATCACAAGGTCGACGATGAAGAACACTGTATATGAACGTACACAGAAAATGGAACGTTCCGATATTTATTATTCAATATAGTTTTACATAACGATTATCAAATTCACCGTGGCCTGGAGGGGAGAAATTGTTACGCCGTCGATCGCGATAACCAGGTCGCGAGACGTGAACTTCGTTGAGAAATCGGTCAACGAAGGCCGTCCCGATCGAAAGAGAGAAAGAGAGAGAGATGGTTTATTGCATACACATCGGAATCCTTCCTTTCTTTTGCAGGCATGGCGAACGTGGTGCCGTGGCTGCTGTCCATGTGCCTTCTTGGCGTTCAGGAGTTCTCTGTACAACCTGGAAGCAACGCGCTTTCACGTGATCTTGAAGCAACCGGTCATAGAAGTGTGTCCTCTGGGTTTCGCTCGGTATGAATTCACTTTTCCTTTATGCAATCCTCCGACGAAGATCAGCTTCCTATCTGAGTGATTGTAAACACAATAATATTTGCATTTCTATAAAAAGGTTCACAAGCAAGATACATTTTCTTTTTTTCCATATAAAGCGTTATGTCCTATGTAGGTTACATTTGAATTATTAGATATGAAAGGTTTTTGTTCTGGTAGAAGTGCTTACTGGATTCCAAAAAGTCGAAGCCAACAGTGGTGTCAAGGTTAAAAAAAATTTTTTTTTTAACGTCCTTCAGTCCCTGAAGAATTACAAGACTCTGATATCTAGCCACGACGAACTTCCTGGCCACATAAACTGTCCAGGCCACGTGGAGATCCCGTCGACCCTCGAGAATTCGGTGGACAGATTGCCCACGACTCCAGAATATAGTAACCATCTGTACGGTTCGACTCCCGACTCGAGCGAATGGTCCCTCGAGAGAGGCAGAGGCCACTCGAGGCCGAGAGGAAGGAAGCTGAATACACTAAAAACGGATCCGTACTCGGCGAATCAGCTCGAGACGCACGGATTCAATTACGATCCCGGTCGGGGACACTTGGAGGACGATTACGTTGGACCTGCCATGGAACTAGTAAGATCATTCGTTTGTCCTCGAGAGAAACAAAGTTTTTAGGTTATGAAATTTATGTACGTGGCAAGAATATGAATGTAAGAAGGAAATAAAGCTTAGGAACGTAAGAATAGGATTTAGTGTCGAATCATCGTAGGTCTACGCTTGGTCCACTGTCGATTTCACGTACGACAGCGTCGTGGCTAGGGATTCAGCCATCTACGACGGGGAGTTTGTCGCGGAGAATAATCTTCCTCTTGGACTCGAGATCTGGAGGGACAAGGTGTTCATTACTCTTCCAAAATGGAAGGACGGTATTCCAGTGACGTTGGCTACCGTGCCCAAACACTCGAAGACCAAGAGCCCCAAGTTGAGGCCCTACCCTGACTGGAGCTGGCATCAACCAGGTTGCTGAAGAATTTTCTAAATTAAATTCAAGAAATTCTGACACACACACACACACACACACACACAGACAATTTCAATTGTCGCACCATCGAACTGCAATTGAAACGACAAACACGAAGATCGTTCTTTCCAGGGAACTGCGAGGGTCTAACGTCCGTCTTCAGGGTTCAAGTGGACGAGTGCGACCGTCTGTGGATTCTAGACTCCGGCAAGACGGACATATCGACAGGTGGCAAGGAGACATGTCCACCGGCGATCTTCATCTTCGATCTTACCACGGACACCCCGATCAGGAAGTACATTATACCAGAGGACCAAGTGAAACAGGACTCCCTTTACACGAACATCGTCGTGGACATCAGGAACGAGGAGTGTGGGACAGCGATGGCTTACGCTTCAGACGTGTTCAGATACGGTCTGTTGGTTTATGACTTCCAGAAGGATTCTTCGTTCAGAATCCAACACCATCTCTTCTTTCCCGATCCCCTGGCCTCTAAGTACGAGCTCCACGGTGTAAAGTTCCAGTGGACGGACGGAATCTTCGGGATGGCGTTGAGCCCAATGGACATCCACGACGACAGGACCCTTTTCTTCCATCCTATGTCCAGTTTCCGCGAGTTCGCCGTGTCCACGTCTGTCTTTCGGGATAAAAGGACCGCCGAAGAAAGCTCTGATTTTTTCATGCCAATTGGCAGACCCAGAGCCAAGGACTACGGTCATTCGTCCGGGTCTGTTGTGGACAGGAATGGAGTGATGTTCTTCAACATGGTCACCAGAGACTCTGTATGGTGTTGGGACACCAGGAAGGAGTATATTCCTCAGAATCTAGGGGTTATTGGTACTAGCAATTTGTCCCTGGTCTTTCCTAATGATATAAAGGTCGATCACGAGTACGATCAGAACGTTTGGATTCTGTCTAACAGACTGGCTATGTATCTATATGGGAGCATCGATAACAGCAAGATCAATTACAGGGTGTTCAGAGCAAACGTCAAGGAAGCCGTCAAGGACACCGTTTGTGATCCAGGGTACGTTGTGCCTGGCGCTGAGCACGGTTACGATGAGACTTGTTAAGAGTTGCTGGGAAGAGGAATTTGTTTCTTCTTGGAAAGAGGTTTACTCGGAGTCTCGAGAAGTTTGGGAATACGATATGTTCTCGTTACAGGTACTTTTGCGATGTTTCAACCTTGTCACGGTCAATTTACGATTGTATGTTTGTTGGGAGCGAAGTTTATGGCGGGATGGCCGCTGGTGGCGCCACTGTCGTGGTCAGCTGAGGCTGTAGGAACCAAGATGGTGGCGATGACGTTGAACTTACGGCGTAAAGAGAACGTGGAACTTGTAACTTGAGAACATTGTAGTTTATTCCATAGAAAGAGGAATAGAAATGTTGGAAAATATGCGTGAATACAATTAAATTTTCGGACTGATATACTTCAAGATTTGATTTCATTAGAGACTAAATCTGTGAAGGATCTTCCGGGGAATAATGTTCCTTTTACTTCAGAAAATTTGTCGAGAACACAGAATTATAATTAGCGTGGAAAAGATACTGGTTTTATTATAGTTTCGTAATGTTTGTGAAACAAGGGATTTCTAGAACAAAAGATATTACAAATTCATCCACTTCAGAAGTAACAATATAATATTCTTATTTTAACAGATTCTAAGTAATAATATTCGTCGATTGTAAAATTTAATGTAGCGGAAGATCAAAATTCTACTTTATTCTCGAGAGGTCATGTATATGAGTAAAAATTATGCAACAAGGCGAAAGTTCATTGTTAAACAAAAGTAACATTAAAGATGCATGATCTGTTGCGATGAATTATTCCGCTACAAGGTACCACGAGGTGAAAGTTTTTCCCAGTGTCATCTGTTAGTTGATCGCGAGTCGTGGGCATTGTTGTGCTTGATAAAAACTAGAATGTAGCAGAAACGTATGAAATGGAATGAAGTGAGAGGAATATGTATCATTTTAAACTGGTTGAATGGTATTGTTTGAGTATGTAAAAAAGAAGTCGTGAATTTTGGAATGAATTACGAAGAATACGTATCATGTGTTTGTGCTTACGCGTGTGTAATATAGAAGAGAAAGAAATAAAATGAAAATTGAATTATTCAAAGGAAGATGTTCGAAGTCTCATCCGTCCTTGTAGCCTGATGTTACGATAAATTAATCTCTGAATATAAATATAGGAAGAAGTACTATACATGCTTTATTCATCACATGTACATAATGTCAATCACAAACTGAACATACTCGATCGACTTTATAATTTTCCGAAACTATCATATTTACTTAGAAAATTTTCAAATTCAAAAATACAACATAAAGATAAAATCATGGCTAAATACGTCGAACACAATAAAGTACATCGAATAAATTATTATAATTCGTAAACAACATTTGTGCAAAAATGTCCGTATATTTAACCATTGGAAAAAGATTCACACAATTCCATGAAATATTTCCCCAATAAATGTGACTTTCACAAACTCACTTCAAACGAAAAAAAAATATATAATTTCAACAGAATCCACTTTCTATTTAAAAACGAAACAAAAAACTTGTTTGAACAATGTCGTAAAAAAGAGGTACTATTACAAAAGTAACGAGAAATAAATTGTTCGGTATCTTTAAGCAGCTTCGTTGGACGCGTTCGACGCGATTGAAAATTCCTCCATGTCGTCGTTGTCTAGTTCGCTGAACGAAATCACGATCGGCGTTTCGGATGCCCTAGTGTAAATGGAATTGAAGCTGTCCATTTCATCCAAAGTCGTGTCAAAGTGAACAGACGAGGATTCTTCATAGTTCTCGGAGGAAATCGTAGCATCTCCGCTATTTGCTTTGTTCGAAGTGTTCTCCTCGACAATCGATTCTTGTTTCGATTCTTCTATCGACACTTCCTTCGATTCTCCTATCGACACTTCTTCCGATTTTTCTGTCGACACTTCCTTCAATTCTTCTATCCACACTTCCTTCGATTCTCCTATCGGCACTTCTTTCGAGTTTTCTATCGAATCCTGTTTCGATTCTTCTATCGACTCTTGTTTCGACTCTTCTATCGATTCTTTTTCCGAAGTCTTCTCTTCACTACGCTCAATGATCATCAAGTCTAATTCTCTCTTTTTGATATTCCTCTGAATTTCTGCCATGTCTTCGCCAATTTTTAACGTGGCTTTCAGAATATTTAATTGACTTTTCTCAGACGATACTCGATCTTGTAATAGAGACATCGATGAACCACATTCGACATCTTCATCAGCTGCGTGTAAATCTATCGCCTTCCGTTCCTCCAGCTCGGAAGTTGAGAAGCTTTTCTGTTTCAGAAAACTTTTACCAGAATTTACATCATTGTGTCCCGTACCACCTTGATTCGAGAAAGGAGATTTTGTGGTCTGTTCAGCTGGACGATTTTCTAATTTATTTTCCTCTTTCTCTTTTCGCACGTTGTCATTAAATCGGTCCCTAACATCAAATCTTTCAACACCCTTTTCATCTGTTTTATTAAGCAAAGATACTTCGACAGTAACGTATCCGCTCGAATTTAAACCCAATTCTTCCGTTTCTTTTCGTAAATTTTCCGCCATTTCTTCATTATGAAATTCGGAATCTCTCGATGTCGATCGATCCGAAGCCAAGTCCTGAACTATTTGCAAACGTTGGTCGATCGAACGAAAAACATCGACGTTCTCGAAGTCGACAGAGCTCTCGAAGAATTCTTCATCCTCCTCCAGAAGCGTCTCGTGTTCGATTTTCTCCAGTAACTCCGCTTTCTCAAGGAGAGTCGATGTTGAGGTCGACACTGTGTGCACCTCGAACGGCTTCAACGTTGTCGTGGCTCGCGAGATCTGTGCGAAAGAATATATCTCTTGACAAATGTATCGGATGTAGAAATAGAGAACGTTCAGCAAAAACACCAAGATAATTTTCAACGATACTTCATTATGTTCTACGATCTCGAGTTTATCGAAATTGGATTCTAACTTTGAAACCTCATTCGTTCCTTCAATAGTGAGGTTAGATTCTTCCCAAACGGAATCTGATATTTCAATGTTTTCCTCAGTTTCTTCGAATCTATCGGCATTTATACTGGCTTCTTTCCGTCTGGTATCTAATATTTGAATTATTTCTTCAACTTGTTCAACTGTGTTATTACTTCGGGGTTCTTCATCTCTCGTATTCTCTTCAGTTTCTTCTACAATAATACTTTCTTCCACGTCTTGGTAGTTAATGTCAGCTTCCTTTTCGTATTTGCTAATACTCTTAATATTCTTAAGTTCGATGCTACATTCGGTTTTTTCTATAATTACATGATCTTCAGCAGTTTGATATTCAATATTAACATCGAATTTTTCTTCTTCTTCATTTCTGGAAATTTCTGAAGATTCTTCTATTTTAATGATTTTTTCAGTTTTTCGTGGACATGAACGTTCAATCTGTTCAGTTCTTATACTTTCTTCCTGGTCTTTGATGTCTTTTCCTTCTAGAAACTCTTGAATCTTTACATCGACTCCATCATGGACATTTCGTTCATCCTTTTTGATGTCAGTGCTTCCTTTAATTTCTCTGACGTCAAGATTTGCTTTATTTTCTTCCAATGTAAGATTATTTCCACTTTCTTCAATGCTAATCTTCTTTTCACTATTTGGACATTTAATACTTTCCTCAACTTCTGCATGTTTAAATGTCCCTTCAGCTTGCTCAAATTTAATATTTCCATCTATTTCTTCTACTTTAACATTCTCTTCAGTGTCTCTTTTAACATTTTCATCAATTTCTTCAATTCTGACACCTCCATCATCTATTTCATTCAAATCAGCTGCTTTAATTATATCAAAAGTTTTATTTATCTCTCTCATTGGCGTGGTCCAAGAAACCTCCATCAGTTTCGAAGAATCCAAACTTGACTCGACCGATCCAATCGTTGACAATATTTCCAAATCAAACGAACTCGGACAAGTCTCATCTGACGCCATCTTGAATTCCTCAAACGTATCACCATTCCACTCTTCATCATCAAGACCATCGTCACCATCATTCTCGTTAAAACTCCCATTCCCTATCGAAGAAAATTCGCTCGAGTACCCAGATGTTTCACCGACCATTGAAATGCTCTTCGTCTTTAATTCTTGCAAACCTTTTCCCTCTTCGACCTTCTTCTTTTCCCCTCCCTCCATTTTTTTGAACAAAGGATGCAAATTCGTTCCTACAAGTTTTACAAAACCAATCACCGAATTGGTAACCAATTGCAAGGGAAAATCGCTCAAACTGCTGAAACACTTAGAATCCAGATCGGATTTCTTAATCACAATAGGAAACTTGATGTTCGTAATAATATCTTCTTTGATGAACCTCGGTATATCTTCGTCTCCTACCATTTTTCCACCCACTGGCTCCTCTTCGTCACCAATTCCCATCTCGACGAGCTCAATCTGCGACGTTTCCTCTGCCTGGCCAGTAATAGTCTCCAGGTCCAGCTCTTCGATGGTTAAGGTCCTCAGGGCTTCCGTCACGGTGGTGAGGACATTTTCTAGCTGCGAGTCGCTAAGTAAAGACCCCCGATTGTCCTCGATGTCGCCGAAACTACAGCTAATTTCCAATTCAGGGTCCACCGGAAGATCGTTTCGGTGTATGGTGATGATGCAGAGATCTTGGACTTCTTGTATGGTAGCCAGGACATTGTCCAATTGGTTGGCCTGCCGAGAAATGGCCGGGAACTCGTCGTCGAAGATCGCCTCGTTGCTCACCCGACAGACGAACTCGTTAGAGGACGACTCGACGCGAGTGTCACGAATGATCTCTTCTACCGTTCTGACCTCGCTGGGAAAGTCCAGAAAAGAGTCCATAGAGCTATAGGACATTGCGTTGTGAAGCATTCGCCCGGTCCTCGCGTCGACGATGTCCATCGGACGATTTTTGCTTCCTTGGGAGTTCTGGTTGGTCAAGATGACACCTGGCGTGCCGTCCGTTACGTAGCTCACTTCGGTGTTCCTGGCGAGGTCCGTTAAATCTGGTTTTCTCGACGCTCTAGGATGATCTTGCGAAGTCCCTGCTCTTTGATCTATCATTTCATCGCTTATTGAAGAAAACTGGGTATATTCTATATTTT